TTTCAAAGTCAAGCTGAAGGATCTGAACGACGAGCAAGTCGCGTGAGTAACATATACGTGTGCTTTCTGTTTGTGTGACTCTTGTTCTACATGGTTTACATAATTACTGTGCTATTCTATGCAGGGATGGTCGAGATCAAACCCGTGGATCAATTGGTGATTGCTATACGGGTAGCCAGTATAGGACGCTGCATCTTACTGTTCTGCGAAAAGAGCTCCTAGAGATCTGGTGGCGGACGCCTCCGTCACAAATCTCGCTTCCTCTCTGGAAGGCTCTGCAAGTCCCGGTTATGATGCACCTCGGACACCAATTTCTCGGAAGAGGGTGCAGCATTCGAAAGATTCGCCTTGGGAACCTGTTTGTCCGCATGACGCGGAGCACATCACACCTCGACGACTATCTTGACGTTTTCGTACTCGTCGTTGTTTCCAGGAAGTCGAAGACCAACCCCAACAACAAGCTGAGTCATCAGTTTCTTGCAAGGCATAGGGACTGGCGGCTCTGCGGAATGGGCCATGTGTTCCTGTGGCCTCATTTCATCTACGACCTGGTTCCTCTGCGCTACGGCCCTGGTATCGTCGAGCCTCTCGACTTTTCTGAACCGATCTTGTGGACTAAAGCGCACCTCTTCTTTTCTTTGAAGAAGGGCGACCAGGGAAAGCAGAAGCAAGACGAGATGCACTACAAAACGCATAACACCTGGATTAAGTGGGCCATGACGAAGGCGAGATGGATTCTGAGCAAGGTGACACATGCATTCCGTAGATTCGGAGCGCAACAACTCCATGACGACGGTTGCTCCGACAACGATATCGGCACTCTGGGCGGATGGGCGCAGGGGGAGTTGCGGAGGTGTTATGTGTTCGGCATTCCGTTCAAGCCGGTTTGGCTGCTCGCAGGATTCAGCGGGGATCGTGGAGACTACTACATCAGCAGAGCCCGTGCCAAGCTTCCGCGGCATAAGGATAAGGAGAAGGATGAGTGGTTGCAGCTCTTGGATCTCTTAAGGCTTCACATTTTCCCCTGGGTCGAAGAGGGTTGGAAGAAGGTACGTGCTAGTGTACAGTCTTCGCGTTCGTAGCATAATTTTGATACGCAATTATGAACCGTCGCATTTCTCCTGCATACTCGTCCCGTCAGGTCGAAGAATGGAACGCTGCGCAGTCCGATCCGCTCAAGAGGCACTATGCGGGGGCGAGGTTCCTTGAGACCCTCGCGAGCATCGGACGCCTCGTTGTTGCACACGATCTGGCTATGATGTGGGCGTTCTGCCATCAGCACGGCGTGAGAAACCCGCCGTGCAATTGCGAGAGGCATCCATATGTGCAGATGAGCCCCTTGTGCAACCACCCGCTGTTCCAAAAGTGGGCGTACCTGGTCGCTATCTCTCACTTCCAGGGCGAGAAGCTTCGGGCAACCGGCCAAACCACCGCCAAAGCAGTAAGTGCCTGCTATTAGTGGTAGAGAGAGGGAGTTATTCGTTCATGCTGAGTTCTGCCGTGTTGGTTTCTGCAGGACGCTATCTTTCGCACGGCCACAGAAGAGAAGATGCAGAAGATGCACCTCACCGCCAATATGCTCAGGGAGGAGCTTGGGATTTTGAGAGGACGTGAAATGCAGTTGGCGATGGAGAACGCTGAACTGAGGGAGAAACTCGCCGCTGAGCGAGATGACAAGGCTCGGGTCATTGCAGAGTTCGAAGCATACAAGAGGTCTGTTGCGGCCAGGGATGTCGCGGCAAACACCTATGCAGAGATCGACGGATCGTCGAAGAGCGCGGGAACAGGAGCAAAGCAGGCAATGGGCGCATCCAAAGCACCAGTTGCCGTGGAAGATTTCTTCGTCGTGGTCGTTGTGTCTTGGCGCGAAGCCACCACTATTGCTGCAGCCTGGAAAGTGTGGGTGCAGCCAAGCCTCATCATGGGCGGCAGGTCACTGCGCGAAGTCTTTGCAGAGTTCGACCGGTATAAGAAGAAGGACAAAAATTCCAGCTTCATCACCGCATATTCCCGGTTTGCTTACAAAGGTACGCCCGGGATGGCTGTGGGTGCATGCGAGCGAAAGATGCATCGCGCGCATCGTGTCATGGTTTCCGTGGAGACGCTAAGAAAAGACAGCTCCGAGGCGGCGACCGCAACGGCCATTAAGCTGCTGGACGAGGTTTTACTCGTGTGCAACTTCACGGAATTCACCAACGGCCTGGCGGTGCTGCATGAGACTCCGCCCATCAAGAAACAGAAGACCGGTTCGTCGACGGAAAAGAGGACCGTCAACGACTTGGCGCAACGCAGAGTGGGCTGGCTGTTAGTCAAGAAGGGCCTTCGCGACCAGGAGTGGGCAAGTTCGCTGTTTGGGGATGATGAGTGGGAGGAGATCCACAAGGAACACATGGCGCAGGAGAAGGCGGAAGAGGAGAAACAACGAACCGCTGCTGCGAAGAAGGCGGAACGGGAAAAGGCGAAGGGCGAAGCGTCGAAACGCTAGGAGCAGAAATGAGGGGGCATGTACCTTAAGGGTGGGGCGGTTTAGTTATTTGGGTACTTCATTCCGGTTGTACTGAATATGCAGTACAGGCACTTGTATGTCTCTGTAGAAGCCCGATTTGGGGTCTGTATGCCACCTTCTTCCTTGGACGCGCTGTTTTCGTAGAATGTTTTTCTGGTCTATGCATTGAAGCACACATCGATGTTATACACCCGGTGAAGTTCTGTATACGTTTTGGTATGCATAGGAATACCGTATATGCCTCTTAACAAGGTGCTCCCCAAGACAAGATGTTATGCGATTGTTTAGCCCCATACTTCTACCTCCTCGTAGAAGGCGAGTATTAATGTTGGATTAAGTGTCGTAGAAGGCCGTCCTGCCGTCAATGATTTATTCGGCTGACCCTCCCTTTGATGGCGAGTTCTATCGGCTGCATTGCCAACTCCATACGCGCCCTACAATTTTCGCGAGTGTAGTGAAGGTTTGCATAGCAAAAATACATCTCTCATTGTATTGTATACAACAACACATATATTTATACACGGTGAAAAAAAAAAACGGAAAGGACAATCTATTTCTACTGCGGTACTAACAAGACCTCCAAAGAACCCGTCTGCCTCTATCACTCCTGGCCGCCAGCGCCGGTGTTCTCCTCCGTCGACGCCTCCTTCGTCGCGTTCTTTTTCGCGGACAATTTCTTGGTTTTCTTCTCCTTATCCGCCCCTGTTGTCGTATCCCGGCCGCCCAACTTCTTCTGCAGGACTCCGAGGCAGACGCCCTGGTGCTGGTGAAGGCCTCTTGATGCCATGCTGCATAGGCACCAAGAGGTCACCACCTTTGCCACCACCCTCGTCATCCGCTTCGTATCCCCGGCCGCTCGCGACTCTGCCGGAAGCGCTTTCAGCAGCGCATCCGACAGGGGAAGAATCCACGCTTCCTTGTCATGCTCCTAATCCTTGACCGACCTCATCGCCTCAACCGCAACGCAAGCAACCGAGGCTGCAAGCGTCGCAAGGGCATCGAGGACGGCAGAGGACACATCGGCCGCAGAAGATGACGAGGCAGCCGACGAGGCGGTGGCAGCAGTGGACGATCTGGCAGCAGAAGATGCTATGGCGGTAGAAGTTCCATGTGCAGCTGTTGTTGCGCCCGTCTCCCACTGGGTCTGGTCCACATTCGTGGATGTGGCCCACATTACAGACAACGTGGCGGCAAGTCCGACTGCGTGTTCTTCCGTCGAATAGCCGTTTTCACCCTCCACGCCTCCCACCATCTTCTGCCACGCAGTTATTCCGACACCAGCGCAGGCAGCAACCTGAAAGCCATCCCCCTGCTGCTGCCGAAGAGCCGTGTTGGTTTGAACAAGTGAGAATCTGCACAAGACACCAGTGTCGCAAGATCAGAACCATCGAACTTCGCGGGTGTGATTCCTTGTGCGCCTCTGATTCCTTGTGAGGTTTGTCCATCACATAAACACTCACCCGTCCGGTTTGTCCAGGTGGAGTTCGTTGATGACGCTCCACACCCCTGTTGGAAGCCACGTTGTGAAGTCGAGGTCTTCCCGCCACTTGTTAATACGGTTTGGATTCATGCCGTATGCCTGCATGTCAATATCCGGGAAGTAGAACTTCCAGAAGACTGCGACTGTGTATGCCCTCTCCCACACCGTTTTGTGAGAGCCGAGGTTCCGCTTCCGGCCGCCGACGGTCTGCTCAGACGTCCACTTCTGCAAAGCTCCCTCGCCCCGTTGAGAGAACCCGCTTCCCCTGAACGGCAGGCAGACACCCAAAGTCTTACCCTTGTTGTCCACTACGGCGTTTTTCCTGTTGTCACACTTTTCGATCTTCATCCCCTTCTTTTCCCCTGGGATTATCGGTATCAACTCCTGTACACCAGCTGCACGCCGTCTCTTAGCCGCATGACCCTCCGGCTCCCTGTCCTCCTGTCTAGGCTGCCTCCTGGACACCTCTACGTTCTGTTCGGGAACAATAGCCACGCCCTCTGCTACATTCGCCTCCCCGCTCTCAATCAACAGCAAACTCCCCAGGCCCTCAGCTATTTCCTCCTCGACTCCCTTCCAGGTCCCCTCCCCATGCATGGTCAAATCCTCCTCTTCCATTTCCCTTGCCAATCGTTCCGTCTCTTCAGCCATCGCCTTTGCCTTTGCCTCCAGTTGCCGCTGCTGTTCCGCGAAGGATGCAAGTCTGGCCCTCTTCTCTGCTCGGCACTGCTTCGCCTTCTGCAGGCGCTCCATCTCCTGCTGTTTCGCCCTCTGCCGCCGCTCGGCCTCCTCTGCCTCCTTCTTCTGCGCCTCCTCCTTCTGCAGGCGCTCCATCTCCTGCTGTTTCGCCCGCTGCCGCCGCTCGGCCTCCTCTGCCTCCTTCTTCTGCGCCTCCTCCTTCTGCAGGCGCTCCATCTCCTGCTGTTTCGCCCGCTGCTGCCGCTCGGCCTCCTCTGCCTCCTTCTTCTGCGCCTCCTCCTTCTGCATGCGCTCCATCTCCTGCTGTTTCGCCCGCTAAAGCCGCTCGGCCTCCTCTGCCTCCTTCTGCGCCTCCTCCTTCTGCATGCGCTCCATCTCCTGCTGTTTCGCCCGCTGCTGCCGCTCGGCCTCCTCTGCCTCCTTCTTCTGCGCCTCCTCCTTCTGCAGGCGGTCCAATTCCTGCTGTTTCGCCCTCTGACGCCGCTCTACCTCCTCTGCCTCCTTCCTCTGCCTCTCCTCCTTCTGCAGGCGCGCCATCTCCTGCTGTTTCTCCCTCTCCTGCCTCTCGGCCTCCTCTGCATCTTTCCGCTGCGCCTCTTCCTTCTGCAGGCGCGCCATCTCCTGCTGTTTCGCCCTCTCCACCCGCTCTCCTTCCTTTGCCTCCTTCCTTTGCGCCTCCTCATTTTGCCGGTGCTCCTTCTCCTGTTGTTTCTCCCTTTCCTCCCGATCGTCCTTCTCAGCCTCCTTCCTCTGCGCATCCTCCTTCTGTGGCCGATCTCCCTCCGTTGCCTTCCTACCCTGCTCTTCCTTTTGCCGCCGCTCTGCGTCCAATCTCAGAACTACTGACAGCCGCTTTTCCACCTCACTTAGCATCCCCTCCTTCCACCCCTTCATCCCCGTCTTCATCTCCTTCATAGCCTCCATTACCTCCTTCATTCCCGCCTCCACCTCCTTCTGCCATCGCTCTTCCTCCTGATGTTTCTTCTTCCTCCGCCGCTCTGTGGCCTCTACATCCTTCCTCTTCTCCTCCTCCTTCCGCCATTGCTCGTCCAGTTGTTTCTTCTTCTGTCTCTCCTCGTCGTCCGCCACTTGTTTCCTCTTCGCGTCCTGCTGTTGTCGCCGCTCCGCGTCGTCTTGCCTCGCCTTCTTCTGCCGCTCGGATTCTTCTCTCAAAACTGCGCTCAACCTCCCCACAATCTGGTTTACCATCCCATCCTTCATCTCCTTCATTTCTGCCTTCATCTCCTTCATCATCGCCTCCTTCATCTCCTTCATTCCCTCTCTCATCTCCTTCTGCCGACGCTCTTCCTCCTGCTGTCGTTCCTTCTCCCGTCTCTCTGCGGCGTCTGCTTCCTTCCTCGTGGCCTTCTGCCTCCGCTCCTCGTCCTGCAGTCTATCCCTGTTCCGCCGCTCAGAGTCTTCTCTCAGAACCTCTCTCAACCTCTCTTCCACCCCCTTTAACGTGCCCTCCGCCATCCCCCCTCCCGACTGGCGAACCTGATCACTCACCCTTATGATACTCTCTTGCAAGTTGGAGAGTCTCGTGTCCACCTGCTCGCGAAACCTGGCCGCCGTTTCAGCTTGGCGCCGCCGTTCCTCGTTTCCATGGCGGACTTCTTCCAGGTTGGCCAGGGCGTCGCGGCAGTAATGGACGGTCAGATCGGCCACATCGCGACTGATGCTGCTGTTGCGGGTCGCCAAGTTGCAGAACGTCTGCGTCACCATTCGGGCTAAGAGCGTGAGACGACGCGTTACTTCTGCTGGGCTTATGTCCTAGCTTTTGGCCTCGACGAACCTGTCACCTTGTTCGACCAGGACTGTACTCGTCCGATGCAGCATCCGCCGTATTGCCGTCTCTGCCTCGACCCATTCTACCTGCCAAAACGCTTCTGCCACCCCGCCTTGGCTGAGATTCCTCTCCACTGTTCTCTGGTGAAGGGTAGGCCGCCTCTGCCTGTTGAGATCCACTGTATCCCTAGGCGCCCCATCGTCTGCCACCCTCCATGGCCTCTCTACCCCGGTTCCTGGTCCCCGCGTCGGACTTCCTCCCAAAAATATCCGGACTGCCGGATGTACCGTATCCTCCTCATTCTGCTCCTCTTCTGTTTCCAGCGCATCTCCCTCGTAGTGCCCCACTCCAGCCTCCGGGACCACACGAACCTCCTCCATAGTATTTTGACGCTCTGTCTCTGCCATGCTCTGCGTCTCTCGGTATGCGAATACCTGCGATGCTGCCTCCTCGTCGTGCTGCCCCTCTTCCTCTGCGTTGATGTGCCCCTCAGCACCCGCCGTCTCCCGTCCCTCTGTCTGTATCATTTTATTCCCATCTGAACCCTCCTCTCCATCTGGCTTCCTACGTCCGTCAGCCTCAGCCTGCTTCTGCTCCTCGGCCTCTGGCATCTTCTGCGCCTCACCCTCCTCCTTCTGCCGCGCCTCTACAACAGCCTTCTTCCGCGCTTCTGCCCGAGCCAGTTGTAGTGCCTCTTCCGCAGCCTGTTTCTGCTCCTCTGCCTCCGCCTTCTGCCGCGCCGCTGCCTCAGATTCCTTCTGCGCCTCTGCCTCAACCATTTTTGGCGCCGCACCCTCCTCCTTCTGCCGCGCCGCTGCATCAGATTCCTTCTGCGCCTCTGCCTCAACCATCTTCGGCACCGCACCCTCCTTCTGCTGCGCCGCTGCATCAGATTCCTTCTGCGCCTCTGCCTCAACCATCTTCGGCGCCTTACCCTCCTCCTTCTGCTGCGCCGCTGCCTCAGATTCCTTCTGCGCCTCTGCCTCAACCATCTTCGGCGCCGCACCCTCCTTCTGCTGCGCCGTTGCATCAGATTCCTTCTGCGCCTCTGCCTCAACCATCTTCGGCGCCTTACCCTCCTCCTTCTGCTGCGCCGCTGCCTCAGATTCCTTCTGCGCCTCTGCCTCAACCATCTTCGGCGCCGCACCCTCCTCCTTCTGCTGTGCCGCTGCCTCTGATTCCTTCTGCGCCTCTGCCTCAACCATCCTGGGCGCCGCACCCTCATCCTTCTGCTGCGCTGCTGCCGCTGATTCGTTGTGTGCGTCTGCCTCATTTTTCTGCTGCGCCGCTGCCTCATCCTTCTGGCTCGCCGTTGCCTCTGATTCCTTCTGCGCCACTGCCTCCACCACCTGCAGCTCGACTGCCTCCGACGTCAGCTCTGCTGTTGCACCCGCTTCTTTACGCGCGACTGCCTCCGCACTCTTGACCGCCTCTGCACCCACCTTCTGCTGCGCCGCAGCTTCTGCTTCCTTTGGCGTCCCGTCCTCTGCCGTAAGTGCCGCCTCTGCATCGACGAACCGATGGGCCGCATCCTCTGCATTCTGGTCCGCCTCTACCTCCGCCATCTTATGAGCCTTTGCACCCGCGTTGCTCTGCGCCTTCCTTTTCGCCTCTCCCGAATTCTCTGCCACGTCGACGTCCCCTCTCCGGGCCTCTTCTGCCGCCTTCCGCTTTACGCTGGGCAAGCGAACTTCAACGTATCCCCTATCCTCCTCGATATGCTGCCGCACATTACTGGCGAGCTCCTCTCCTGCCTCTCCCACGTGTGCCTTTGCAGCGGCTCGTGCCCCACGCTCCCATGCTTCACGTATGTCTCCAGTTCCCGGGAAAGAGACGGTAGGATCGGTGTCGCCATCACGGCGCCGTTGCCTCTCTTCAGCCCATCTCCTCTTGGCTTCTGCTTCGGCCATCCGCTTATCATCAGCCGCCTTCCTCCACTGCTCCTCTGCCTATTCGACCTGACTTGGCAGCTGTGGATCTTCTACACCCTCCTCGCCTTCATCTGCTACACTTGCCAAGTCGGTCTCCGTCCGTGCTTCGCGTTGCCGCGGCCTCCTAACCCGATCAGCAAACCTGAGCTGCCTAACTCCAGACCTAACACGCTCGTCTGCAGTGGCTGACCTTGATGTCGGGCCACTCAGTAGTGCACCCCCCGGTGCAGGTCGGCGGGAATATGAAATAAACCCAACTCTTGGATTTGCGTCCCGGTTTGCGGCAGGTACGTCTCTCTGTCCCTCTACCGCTTCGGATCTGTTCTGTGCGGCCGGCTCCATGGTATTCCCGGACCGTTCCGGTGCGCTCTCTACCACTCGAGCACAGTGGGTCGTCATGACTGCATCCGGGGCGGGACGGAGCTGGACTCCTTGCAGGTCAAAGAAGGCCCTGCAGGTCGACTCCAGCATGCTCCGAATTTCTTTCGCGCTGTTTTTCCCCTTCCCTAACGCCATCATCGGCTCTACAGTTTGAATTGCCATGACATCCCCCCATTTGTCCAGCAACTTGCTGAACAGATGGGTAACGTGCAGCCCGGAACCCACTTGCCTCTGTCCCTGAACCTTGTTGATCTGCAACATGTGTGTGAAAAGGTGGTCGTCAGACACTCCCGTAACTTTTTACAAGCTTAATATGATACAACGCTTAAATCATACAAATAGAGGCTCCTTACCCTGCCTTCCTCCAGAATCAGATCATCTAGGCGAGCCCTCAAATCTTTCTGCACCGCTTTGGCGTGGCTGCCAAAGACCCTGCGACCTCGGCTGTATTCCACATCTAGTTGTCGTATAAGCCAGCTGCAAGGCAAGGGGGTCGCAAATAATCAATAACATGCGTCCATACAAACCGCACATCTGATTAAGGAGTGATACTTACTCGAACACCTCCTTGGCATGGTCGTTGTGGCGATGGGTTGGGATTGCAGATTTAGGGTCGAAGTGTAGCACACGCGCACGGTACTCTCCGCGGCGATGTGCTAACAAATCTTGCGGGTTCATCAGCACCATGAGACTGATCGCCGTCGAGTGAACAACAGGGACTCTGCGGTACATCGAAGTTTGGATTAGCAAGATAAGCTAGTGTCATCGACAGACGTTGCGGATCCATGTCAGGAAACTCACTCTGATATCATGGGTATTAAAACCATCTGGTAGTCCAACAGCGACCGATGTTCGCTGCCACAACTGGGTACACGCGGGACGGCAGACCTCAAACGCCGATGCTCGGTAGGAGCCAGAATCTTTATGTCCCTGCGAACGCGAGGATCCCCAATCTTGTCCTTGGCAACCTCCCTGCATCCAAGCCGACATGTCGCAGAGGTAAGAAGATCGCAGGTGCCTGTCTAAAAAAACAAGGGTTCAACGTGCCGATGAAGTCGGCGTGCGTTACAAACCGCGCTTGGATACATACACAAGGCCGAAAAGTAACAACGCCTCGTTCCACTCTTCCTGACGAGCGATTAACCTTTCATAAGACTCCCGCCCTAGTCGTACAGACAATCCGCAGCCGTCTGTGATTAGCTGGGACGACATCGCGTTACTATGCCAGAAGATGACAGGTAGCTACACGGTTACTACCATACACTGTCCGCCTGCAGGATTTGAGGCCGACACTAGAATGAGAGGGAAGCTTGTGAGGCTAGTTGTGGAACCTAGACTCAGATTGGAATGGCGAGAATGACGTTGAGCTCTCGTCCTCACAGAAGGTTGTGCTCTCGTCCTCACAGAAGGTGGGAAAGGCTTTGCTACAAACGCCAGGCGTAGAAAGAATTTTCCGCCCCCTAAATCAAAATATTAGGCTTCTCACCGTTTCCCTTCGAACATCTGCGAACTACTCTTTGCATCCTTCTGCAATGATTGGCCTATTTGTCGCCAGATTGTTCTCCTAAATGTTTTACTTCACTTGCTGGTTGGTCGATTGCCAACCTTATATGCCATGTTAGCATATAGCATGTTATGCGGTGCATTGCATGGTCTCAGCTTTGCCTCGACCTAGTACGAAATGGTGACGGGCAGCCCCTAAAAAAAAAAGAATGGTGTCCTGTGACAGGTTCATGACAAGCTGCCACGTATAACTATCCCATCCGCATGGTTCCCTCCGCAATGTCGAAATAGAGCAGTCTCTGCGACCTGTCACACGTGTCAGAAACCGAATGACACCCTATATCCGAGAGTACCGCTATAGGGGTACTCGCGTAGCACGTATAGTACTAGTTTTTGTAACCCATAAAACAAACACAAGCATGAACTTTGCATGACTAGCACACCCAATTCTAAAACGGGTAATCCTTTAAGTGTGAGATGAGTGCCCTATCATTAGCACCCGTATAACAGTGGCATTGGATACAAAACAAATGATGTACATTTCACCAAAATGATCTGCTCCCGCCTGCAGAGGAGAGCATGAAAACATACTAAATGTCTACGAAATGACGTGAATTTCAGGTGAGGGTCTGAAATATGTGTGATGAGAGTCCCCAATAAAAATCTGCTCATTTGCTCAAGGAGAAGTGGGTGATTTAAATTGAAACCTGATTCCAGGCAATTCTGCACAGAATTCTGCAGACTGCTGCACAACAAGGCTTAAAAAACATATCAAACCCTGAGTAAATGAGGTGAATTTCAGGTGGGGGTCTAGAATATGTGTAGTGAGAGTCCCCTATAGAAATCAGCTTATTTGCTCAAGGAGAAGTGGGTGATTTCAATTGAAACCTGATTCCAGGCATTTCTGCACAGAATTCTGCAGACTGCTGCACAACAAGGCTTAAAAAAACATATCAAACCTTGGGTAAATGAGATGAATTTCAGGTCGAGGTCTGGAATATGTGTGGTGAGAGTCCCCTATAAAAATAAGCTCATTTGCTCAAAGAGAAGTGGGTGATTTCAATTGAAACCTGATTCCAGGCATTTCTGCACAGAATTCTGCAGACTGCTGCACAACAAGGCTTAAAAAACATATCAAACCTTGAGTAAATGAGGTGAATTTCAGGTGGGGGTCTGGAATATGTGTAGTGAGAGTCCCCTATAGAAATCAGCTTATTTTCGCAAAGAGAAGTGGGTGATTTCAATTGAAACCTGATTCCAGGCATTTCTGCACAGAATTCTGCAGACTGCTGCACAACAAGGCTTAAAACACATATCAAACCTTGCGTAAATGAGGTGAATTTCAGGTGGGGGTCTGGAATATGTGAATTGAGAGTCCCCTTTAAAAATCAGCTCATTTGCTCAAGCAGAAGTGGGTGATTTCAAATGAAACCTGATTCCAGGCATTTCTGCACAAAATTCTGCAGACTGCTGCACAACAAGGCTTAAAAAACATATCAAACCTTGGGCAAATGAGGTGAATTTCAGGTGGGGGTCTGGAATATGTGTAGTGAGAGTCCCCTATAAACATCAGCTCATTTGCTCAAGGAGAAGTGGGTGATTTCAAATGAAACCTGATTCCAGGCATTTCTGCACAGAATTCTGCAGACTGCTGCACAACAAGGCTAAACAAACATATCAAACCTTGGGTAAATGAAGTGAATTTCAGGTGGGGGTCTGGAATATGTGTAGTGAGAGTCCCCTTTAAAAATCAGCTTATTTGCGCAAGGAGAAGTGGGTGATTTCAATTGAAACCTGATTCCAGGCAATTCTGCACAGAATTCTGCAGACTGCTGCACAACAAGGCTTAACAAACATATCAAACCTTGGGTAAATGAGATGAATTTCAGGTGGGGGTCTGGAATATTTGTGGTGAGAGTCCCCTATAAAAATCAGCTCATTTTCTCAAGGAGAAGTGGGTGATTTCAATTGAAACCTGATTCCAGGCAATTCTGCACAGAATTCTGCAGACTGCTGCACAACAAGGCTTAAAAAACATATCAAACCCTGAGTAAATGAGGTGAATTTCAGATGGGGGTCTGGAATATTTGTAGTGAGAGTCCCCGATAGAAATCAGCTTATTTGCTCAAGGGGAAGTGGGTGATTTCAATTGAAAACTGATTCCAGGCATTTCTGCACAGAATTCTGCAGACTGCTGCACAACAAGGCTTAAAAAACATATCCAACCTTAGGTAAATGAGGTTAATTTCAGGTGGGGGTCTGGAATATGTGTATTGAGAGTCCCCTATAAAAATCAGCTCATTGTCTCAAGGAGAAGTGGGTGATTTCAAATGAAACCTGATTCCAGGCATTTCTGCACAGAATTCTGCAGACTGCTGCATAACAAGGCTAAACAAACATATCAAACCTTGGGTAAATGAAATGAATTTCAGGTGGGGGTCTGGAATATGTGTGGTGAGAGTCCCCTATAAAAATCAGCTTATTTGCTCAAGGAGAAGTGGGTGATTTCAAATGAAACATGATTTCAGGCAATTCTGCACAGAATTCTGCAGACTGCTGCACAACAAGGCTTAAACAATATATCAAACCTTGGGTAAATGAGTTGAATTTCAGGTGGGGGTCTGCAATATGTGTAGTGAGAGTCCCCTATAAAAATCAGCTCATTTTCTCAAAGAGAAGTGGGTGATTTCAATTGAAACCTGATTCCAGGCAATTCTGCACAGAATTCTGCAGACTGCTGCACAACAAGGCTTAAACAACATATCAAACCTTGAGTAAATGAGATGAATTTCAGGTGGGGGTCTGGAATATGTGTAGTGAGAGTCCCCTATAGAAATCAGCTTTTTTTCTCAAGGAGAAGTGGGTGATTTCAATTGAAACCTGATTCCAGGCATTTCTGCACAGAATTCTGCAGACTGCTGCACAACAAGGCTTAAAAAAACATATCAAACCTTGGGTAAATGAGGTGAATTTCAGGTGGAGGTCTGGAATATGTGTGGTGAGAGTCCCCTATAAAAATAAGCTCATTTGCTCAAAGAGAAGTGGGTGATTTCAATTGAAACCTGATTCCAGGCATTTCTGCACAGAATTCTGCAGACTGCTGCACAACAAGGCTTAAAAAACATATCAAACCTTGAGTAAATGAGGTGAATTTCAGGTGGGGGTCTGGAATATGTGTAGTGAGAGTCCCCTATAGAAATCAGCTTATTTTCGCAAAGAGAAGTGGGTGATTTCAATTGAAACCTGATTCCAGGCATTTCTGCACAGAATTCTGCAGACTGCTGCACAACAAGGCTTAAAACACATATCAAACCTTGCGTAAATGAGGTGAATTTCAGGTGGGGGTCTGGAATATGTGAATTGAGAGTCCCCTTTAAAAATCAGCTCATTTGCTCAAGCAGAAGTGGGTGATTTCAAATGAAACCTGATTCCAGGCATTTCTGCACAAAATTCTGCAGACTGCTGCACAACAAGGCTTAAAAAACATATCAAACCTTGGGCAAATGAGGTGAATTTCAGGTGGGGGTCTGGAATATGTGTAGTGAGAGTCCCCTATAAACATCAGCTCATTTGCTCAAGGAGAAGTGGGTGATTTCAAATGAAACCTGATTCCAGGCATTTCTGCACAGAATTCTGCAGACTGCTGCACAACAAGGCTAAACAAACATATCAAACCTTGGGTAAATGAAGTGAATTTCAGGTGGGGGTCTGGAATATGTGTAGTGAGAGTCCCCTTTAAAAATCAGCTTATTTGCGCAAGGAGAAGTGGGTGATTTCAATTGAAACCTGATTCCAGGCAATTCTGCACAGAATTCTGCAGACTGCTGCACAACAAGGCTTAACAAACATATCAAACCTTGGGTAAATGAGATGAATTTCAGGTGGGGGTCTGGAATATTTGTGGTGAGAGTCCCCTATAAAAATCAGCTCATTTTCTCAAGGAGAAGTGGGTGATTTCAATTGAAACCTGATTCCAGGCAATTCTGCACAGAATTCTGCAGACTGCTGCACAACAAGGCTTAAAAAACATATCAAACCCTGAGTAAATGAGGTGAATTTCAGATGGGGGTCTGGAATATTTGTAGTGAGAGTCCCCGATAGAAATCAGCTTATTTGCTCAAGGGGAAGTGGGTGATTTCAATTGAAAACTGATTCCAGGCATTTCTGCACAGAATTCTGCAGACTGCTGCACAACAAGGCTTAAAAAACATATCCAACCTTAGGTAAATGAGGTTAATTTCAGGTGGGGGTCTGGAATATGTGTATTGAGAGTCCCCTATAAAAATCAGCTCATTGTCTCAAGGAGAAGTGGGTGATTTCAAATGAAACCTGATTCCAGGCATTTCTGCACAGAATTCTGCAGACTGCTGCATAACAAGGCTAAACAAACATATCAAACCTTGGGTAAATGAAATGAATTTCAGGTGGGGGTCTGGAATATGTGTGGTGAGAGTCCCCTATAAAAATCAGCTTATTTGCTCAAGGAGAAGTGGGTGATTTCAAATGAAACATGATTTCAGGCAATTCTGCACAGAATTCTGCAGACTGCTGCACAACAAGGCTTAAACAATATATCAAACCTTGGGTAAATGAGGTGAATTTCAGGTGGGGGTCTGCAATATGTGTAGTGAGAGTCCCCTATAAAAATCAGCTCATTTTCTCAAAGAGAAGTGGGTGATTTCAATTGAAACCTGATTCCAGGCAATTCTGCACAGAATTCTGCAGACTGCTGCACAACAAGGCTTAAACAACATATCAAACCTTGAGTAAATGAGATGAATTTCAGGTGGGGGTCTGGAATATGTGTAGTGAGAGTCCCCTATAGAAATCAGCTTTTTTTCTCAAGGAGAAGTGGGTGATTTCAATTGAAACCTGATTCCAGGCATTTCTGCACAGAATTCTGCAGACTGCTGCACAACAAGGCTTAAAAAAACATATCAAACCTTGGGTAAATGAGGTGAATTTCAGGTGGAGGTCTGGAATATGTGTGGTGAGAGTCCCCTATAAAAATAAGCTCATTTTCTCAATGAGAAGTGGGTGATTTCAATTGAAACCTGATTCCAGGCATTTCTGCACAGAATTCTGCAGACTGCTGCACAACAAGGCTTAAAAAACATATCAAACCTTGGGTAAATGAGGTGAATTTCAGGTGGGGGTCTGGAATATGTGTAGTGAGAGTCCCCTTTAAGGAGAAGTGGGTGATTTCAAATGAAACATGATTCCAGGCATTTCTGCACATAATTCTGCAGACTGCTGCACAACAAGGCTCAAAAAACATATCAAACCTTGGGTAAATGAGGTGAATTTCAGGTGGGGGTCTGGAATATTTGTGGTGAGAGTCCCCTTTAAAAATCAGCTTATTTGCGCAAGGAGAAGTGGGTGATTTCAATTGAAACCTGATTCCAGGCAATTCTGCACAGAATTCTGCAGACTGCTGCACAACAAGGCTTAAAAAACATATCAAACCTTGGGTAAATGAGGTGAATTTAAGGTGGGGGTCTGGAATATGTGTGCTGAGAGTCCCCTATAAAAATCTGCTCATTTGCGCAAGGAGAAGTGGGTGATTTCAATTGAAACCTAAATCCAGGCATTTCTGCACAGATTTCTGCACCCGCCTGCAGAATATAACATGAAAAGCATGGCAAAACTTGATGAAATGAAGTGAAAACTGGATAGGGATCAGGACTAGGTGTTACGATAGTGCCCTATCAAAATGGGCTCATTTTCCCAAGGAGAAGTGGGTGATTTCACCAGACACATCACAGCATGCAACTCGGCACTAACTTCCGTGCAAGAAAAAGTCCACCAAATCAGTTTGCATATAGCTGAAAATGTTCAGGGGGGCTGGAACAGGTGTCATAACACTAACAATGCAAAAAAATATGGTCACCACATAACACATGTGTGTGATGCCCAGAGAATGACTTTACATGTGCTATGAGCAACCTTAGTTGACCCAAAAGTGACAAAATGTAACAAATTTGACAAAATAACAAACTCATGCCCGCTGGTAGAGGACATCAAGGAGATGCTGGAAATCCATATTTGTGTGCAAATGACCAACAAATAATGGAGCTATGAGCCAAACCATATAGAATGTTGACTTAGCCATTTTGACATTCTGCTTGTCAGAATTACACCAAAGTGTCAAGAACAAAGTTTATCTACAAATACTGTACAACAGTGGTTGCGACGTCGCTTTCGTGCGACCGTCGATAATCCAAACCGGTAGTGTAACCACTCTTGCGCCCATTTCGTTGCGCCATCAGGTGGTTTAGATTTTGTAAGATCCAACACCATTTTGCGCCGAATCCGAGTCAAATCCGAGTAAAATCGTCTCGCCACGGGCAAAATGGAGTTTCGCAAAAAAAAAAATGAATCCCGGTCGAAGCAGAGGATCTGAGTGCTGCTTCCGCCTTTGGCCCGCCCTTCCCCCGTCAGGTGGTTTGGATTTCTAGGGTGAAAGTGACATTTCCGTAGCTGTTTTGTTGTGCCATACAGGTGACATTCTCGCAACTTTCACCCTGGGTGTTTCTCCGAAGGTTTTCCGCAGCTTTTCCGCAAGAAAAGCTACTGTGTGCATTTTGTGCCCACAAGAGATTTCGCGATGGCATTCAGGTTCGTGAGCTTAACTTCTGATCGATACAAACCGCAGAGACCAGTAGGTAGACTGCGGACGTGAGACATACATTTCAATACCTGAAACAATCACGCTGTCAAGACCGCACAGGTAGTTAGCGTTAACGTGAGTTAGCAAAGAGCCTGAGCATGTGTAGACAGGTGAGTTCCTAGGCACGGAAAGGAGGGTGTTTTTGAGACTTCTCAATAACACCCTCTTTTCACGTGTAGACAGGAGTTCCTAGGCACGGAAATTTGAAGAGATTGAGCTCCAAATACACCAAGGAATGTGGCATCTTTATGCTAAACCTTATGCTGAATTCTACGCCTTGTGAATGCAGGAGCTGCGTGACCTGCAGCCCACCCTATTGGATGCTGCCACGTATGCGGAGGAGGCATATCTTGTCACGGACCAAAAGGACATGTAAGCAACAATGGTATTGTAGGTCGTTTCCTTAGCCTGTCTCCGTACTGTTTGAGCCATTTATCCACCCATCCAGCCATCCAGCCATCCAGCCCTCCAGCCTTCTCCGTGCTATTTCCTCTCTTCTCCTCCACTGTGCTTCTCCCACGCAGAGAGCTGCACAACGTGCGCGACTATGCAGTGAGCATGCCGGTGTCCGTGGTGGACCGCATTGGCTTGTTGCTTGTTTCTGCCTAACCATTCCCCTCCCACCCCTCTATCCATCCGTCCCCAAGCAGAGAGCTGCACAACGTGCGCGACTATGCAGTGAGCATGCTGGTGTCCGTGGTGGACCGCATTGGCTTGTTGCTTGTTTCTGCCTAGCCATTTCCCTCCCACCCCTCTATCCATCCGTCCCCAAGCAGAGAGCTGCACAACGTGCGCGACTATGCAGCGAGCATGCTGGTGTCCGTGGTGGACCGCATTGGCTTGTTGCTTGTTTCTGCCTAACCATTCCCCTCCCACCCCTCTATCCATCCGTCCCAAAGCAGAGAGCTGCACAACGTGCGCGACCATGCAGTGAGCATGCTGGTGTCCGTGGTGGACCGCATTGGCGCGGCTGCCAACCTCATATCCTTATGCCGTGCTGTTCCCCCTCTTCTCCTCCACTGTGCTTCTCCCACGCAGAGAGCTGTATAACGTGCGGGACCATGCAGTGAGCATGCTCGTGTCCGTGGTGGACAGCATTGGCTTGCTGCTGCTTGATTGTATTGTGACCCTCAATCCCTCCCTTCCCCTCGATTCACCTCTCAATCCAGAGAGCTGCACAACGTGAGGGACCATGCGGTGAGCATGCTGGTATCTGTGGTGGATCGCATTGGCTAGCAGCTGCTACTCAATCGTGTGTGTGTGTGCCCCCTACTCCCTCCCCACGCAGAGAACTCCACAACGTGAGGGACTATGCAGTGAGCATGCTAGTGTCCGTGGTGGACCGCATTGGCGCTGCGGCCGATCGCTTCACCGATGCCGTCTCCCTGCAGGCCAAGGAGATGGTTGCTGCTGACGTCAGAGTCGCGTCAGCTGCCGAGGTATGGGTGTCCATGCATGCGAGCATGTGCGAGATGTGTGTGGGTGGGCGAGCAGGGGAGTGGGTGTCGGTGTGTGTCCACGTATTTCTGTGCTTGTGTGTGTGGGGGGGAGGTGTCTGTGTGTGCGCGCTCCGTCTCAGGTACGCACGTTCTCGCATGCATGTGTGTCTGGGTGCGGCCGATCGCTTCACCGGCGCCGTCTCGCTGCAGGCCAAGGAGATGGCTGCTGCTGACGTCATGGTCGCGTCGCATGCGGGAATGTGCGTTCGCATGTGTGTGTGGGTGCGTGTAGGCTTACCTCACATGCACCATCGCATGCATGTGTGTCTGGGTGCGTGTGCTTCATGTGTGTCTCTGTGTGTATGGGTGTGTGTGTGTGTGGGGGGGGGGGGGGGTGGGGGAGGAGGGGGGGGGGAAGGGAAAGGTGGGGGTGGGGCTGGGGCGTCGCTTTTGCCTCTGCCATCTTGCATCCTCCTTAGCTTCAGTGGTTCATGTGCGTCTCTGTATGTATGGGTGTGTATGCGCATGTGTGTGTATGTGTGTGTGTGTGTGTGTGTTTGTGTGTGTGTGTGTGTGCGGGCTTGTGTGCGGGCTTGTGTGCGCATGCGCATGCGTTCGTACGTGCGATGGTGCACACGCTCGCGCACGTGCGTGCGTGTGTGTGCCCCCCCCTCTTCTATGCTACAGCGAGTGCGGGCGTGTTGGGAATACTCAGGGCGCAATGCACTGAACCGACAGCAGCAGCCTCATCTTCTTTTCCATGTGCCTGATTCCATGCCTATTCTGTGCTGTACTCTCTTTTCATTGCTGCAGCGTGTGCGGGCGTGTTGGGAATACTCAGGGCGCAATGCACTGAACCGACAGCAGCAGCCTCATTTTCTTTTCCATGTGCCTGATTCCATGCCTATTCCGTGCTGTAGTCTCTTTTCATTGCTGCAGCGTGTGCGGGCGTGTTGGGAATACTCATGGCGCAATGCACTGAACCGACAGCAGCAGCCTCATCTTCTTTTCCATGTGCCTGATTCCATGCCTATTCTGTGCTGTACTCTCTTTTCATTGCTGCAGCGTGTGCGGGCGTGTTTGGGAATCTCAAGAGCCTCTGCGAACAATAACAAGGACTTCATGCCTTTGAGTTGGTACTACCAAGTTTTGACACGTCTCATAACTTGCTTAGGCCGTTTGCTTGGGAATCTCAAGAGCCTCTGTGGATAATAACAAAGGACGTCATGCTATTGAGCTGGTACCAAGTGAGGGTTCAGGGTTTAGGTGTAGGTTGCTGTCTCTCTGCTAAAAACACCCAGTTTACTCATTTGCTTGTTTCTTCTATCGTTCCATCTCTGTGTTTCAGGTATGCCATCCGTCCGTGCATCTCTTGACTGCATAGCTGGTCTACCACCCTCCTCCTCCTCCACTTCGTCGTCCTCCTCCTTCCCCTCCTTTTCGTCCTCCTTCCCCTCCTCCTCTACCGTTCCCCACTCCTCATCAACCCTCTCCAACCCATCGGCAGCAACACCACACTCTGCTGACAAGATACTTTCGCGGAAACAATCACACTCACACAACCTCTCTCACTCACCCAACTTTTCGCACTCGCCCAACCTCTCGCACTCTCACAACCTCCCCCATTTCTCCAACCTCTCTCGCTCGCACAACCTCTCGCAGTCTCACGGACTCATGCACTCTCTCTCTCACTCCCTCTCGCAACACATGGGACACCGAGGCTCGCACGCTCGACAAAGCAAGGTACTACGATCTCCATTGCAAAAATATAATGTAACACATTTTCCAACCTCTATTTCTACATCCTTTTTTACTTTTACACCCAGGAACTCCTCTCTTCCGCTTGTGTAATTCCTTGCCCGGTGCCCACTCCACCCAAACCCCATGGCCCTCTAATTGCCTCCTTGCTGCACAGTAGACAGGTTTCGGGCATTAATGAAGTGAAAGGGATCAGCGACCCTCTACTGCAGTGTGCCACCCCTCGTTTACAGCAGCCCACAATTCTCTGAACAGTTCACATCCCCTTATACTCACTTGAATCCCCTCTTCTCCTCTCCCACTCCGTTCCCACAGGAGCCTACCACTCCCAAGGGGCACTTCCCCCTCGTCGCCTCCTCGTTGCACGCTGGAGGGGCTTCAGGTGTTGATGACGTGGAGGGCAGTGATAGGAGGTCCACCACGCCACATCGGCGCGGCCGGCAGCTTCTGAAAAATATATTCTCACGTGGTGCTGGTGGTGGTGCTGCTTGTGCTGCTGGTGGTGCTGGTGCTGGTGCTGGTGCTGGTGCTGGTGCTTCTGGTGCCAGTGGTGCGTTAGGGGATGGTAGTAACGGTTATACAAGCACTCAAAGAGCCCATGATCGGGGGTACTCCGGACACCTGTGATGTGTGGTTACACCTGATGGTTGTCAAAGGTCATTCCCACCCTGCCTGGGTGGATTCCCCTCGGTGGGGGATTCCCGATTGTCCGAAATGATCGTAACCCAACGTTATCCGATTGATTGGTCTTGGAATAAGATAGGGGTAGGTGTATGTTATGCATGCATAGTGGCCCGGTGGGTTTTGTTTTCGGCCCCATTTCTAGGTAACCAAACGCTGCTGCTGCTGCTGCTGCTGTTGCTGGCGATGCTGGTGCTAGGGGTGCTAGAGATCTGTAATTGGAGTTATGAGTCATAGGCAAAGCGTATGTAGTTAAGTACAAGAAGGTACTACATTCCTGTAAGGACGTGACTACATTATAGGCGTCACGACTCACAATTATTAAACAACGAGTCTTGTCTAAATGCACCGGTATGACCGCGTCTGCAACCCGAAGTACAGTAGTTTTTTAGGCCGATTTCTCCGCAGGAACCAAGGCACATGCACAATGTCCTCATACACATAGTTCCTCTCAAGGAACCCCTTCAACCAGTGTGCAGCAGCCGCTCACACCACCTTTGAGACACCTCAGAAATTGCCAACTTGGTGCTCTTGACATTTGCAGCCTGTGAATTTACTTCTTTGCAGGGTACCAGAGCGCATGAACAAAGTCCTCGTACGCATAATTTCTCTCGATGAATCCTTTCAACCAGTGTGCAGCAGCCGCACACACCACTGCAGCCATTGAAACACAGAAATACACCAGTCAGGCCCTCAGCTAGTGGGTATGTTTTAAGCGGATTTCTTCGCAGGGTACCAGAGCATATGCATGAAGTCCTCGTACACATAGTTCCTCCCAATGAACCCCTTCAACCAGTGGGCAGCAGCTCCACACACCACTTTGAGATGCCTCAGAAATGCCAACTTGGTGCTCTTGACATTTGCAACCCGTGAATTTACTTCTTCGCAGGGTACCAAAGCGCATGAACAAAGTCCTCGTACACATAATTCCTCTCCATGAACCCCTTCAACCAGTGGGCAGCAGCCGCACACACCACCGCAGCAGCCGCTGCAAAAACAGCACCCATGGGGCCCGCAGCTTGCCGAATAGCAGGGGGGGCGATGGGAAGAAGAGCGGTGGCGGCGAGGAGGAGGAGGGAGGCGGCCCAGAGGGCGGTGCGGAGGCGATCAGACCAGCGCTGCACCCGCTGGCAGTCGGGGCACAGCCGCACGTGGAAGCGCTGCCTGTGAGGAGGGGGGGGGGGGGAGAATGGTGGGGACGAGGTGGGGAAAGAGGGGAAGAAGGTGAAGAGAAGGAAGACAATTACAGCTCCTCTGTGTTGTGGAACGTGCCAATGGGGAAGAGGGAGGAATGACGGGAGAGGGATAAACGGGGGAAGAGGAAACAAGGTGGTGGTGGCGAGGAGGAGGAGGGAGGCGGCCCAGAGGGCAGTGCGGAGGTGGTCAGACCAGCGCTGCACCCTCTGGCAGTCAGGGCACAGCCGCACATGGAAGCGCTGCCTGCAGGTGGGAGGGAGGGTGGAGGGGGGCGGGGCGAGGGGTGAATTGAAAGCCAACAGAAATGCCTTTTGATGCGCCTCAAATGACCAACGCAGCACCCGCTGCTTATGAGGGGGAGGGGGGGTTGAGAGTGGGAATACTTTCAAGTCACCATGACTTGCCGCAACAGACCAACAGTGCACCCGCTGGCATTCGGGGCACAACCGCACGTGGAAGCGCTGCCTTTATTGGAAGAGGGAGAGAAGGGTGCGAGAAGGTGGGAGTGGGGGAGGCGGGGGGGGAGGGGTGAAGATTCACTTAGGAGAATTTTAAAAAATCAACCCGCTTCCTCACCTGCCAAGAATCTCCCCCCCTGAATTGGCAAGTTTTGGGGCGTCAAGTACGAGATACATTTTTTTTTCTTCTTCTACTTTTTTTCACCTGTCACCTTCTCACCTGTCAAGAATCTCCCTCCTTGACTTGGCAGCAGGCAGTTCCGGATTCACGTAGGCGGGAAAGCGGGCCTTGCCGCCCGCAAATCTGACTAGCCAGGAGCGATAGGCCGAGACGAACGAGTCGGCTGACGTGGGAGTGTAGTAGCTCTTTATCCCCTGCACCGCACCTCCCTCTTCCTCCAGCCATCGCTCCTGTAGGAACAGATAAAGAGGTAAGGCAGAGAGAAAGGTGAGAGAGAATCAAGTAGCGGTAGGCCGAGACGAACGAGTCGGCTGACGCAGGAGTGTGGTAGCTCTTTACCCCCTCCGCCCCTCCCTCCTCCTCCAGCCGCCGCTCCTGCCGCGAGGGGGAAGGCAGAGACAGAGGCGTTTGGTGGGGGGAGACAGGGAGGGTACAGAGAGGTGTTCGGAGTGGTAGGCCGAGACAAGCAAGAGACACAGTACATTAGAGAGAGTTCGAGCCTGTTGGAAACGCATACCGTGAGGTGCAGCAAAGGGTGGTCGGTGTCTAGCACTTTCATCCTTGTCAGGTGCACGAACCACTCAGGGGGGAGTGGCAGACACACACGAGCCCACAGGCTCAAGAGACGTACCGAGGCGCATCAAACACTGAGGAGACTTACCGTGAGGTGCAGCAACGGGTGGTCAGTGTCTAGCACTTTCATCCTTGTCAAGTGCACGAACCACCCGGGCGGCATGGCATGGGCAACCAGAAGGTCACGCGATGCCCATCAGACACCATGCGAGCACGCAATGCAGTGCATGAGAGAGAGGCAATGGAGAGGCGTACCGTGAGGCACTTTCATCCTTGTCAAGTGCACGAACCACTCGGGCGGCATAGGCACCCAGGGCGGGATGATGTTGTTCATGAAGAACCAGATGAGGCGGCTCTGCCCCGGCAGGCGGGGAATGCAGTGGAAGAAAATAATTGCTGTCCGCTGCTTCTTGCCTGACCCCTCTTCCTGCACAGGATTGCGCAGAAAGGAGGGGTTTAGAGAGGGAGAAGAGGATAATGGGAGGAGAAGAACGGGAGGAGATTAATGGGGGGGGGGAATGTGGGGAGAGAGCCAGGTTATTGTAGGAAGGAACCACTCGGGGGGCATGGGCACCCAGGGGGGGATGATGTTGTTCATGAATAACCAGATGAGGCGGCTCTGCCCTGGCAGGCGGGGAATGCAGTGGAAGAAGAGAATTGCTGTCCGCTGCTTCTTGCCCGACCCCTCTTCCTGCACAGGATCGCGTGTGGTGGGGGAAGAGAGGAGGGAGAGGGTGGGGGAGTCGGGAGGATGTGGGAAAATTGGGGTAGAAAGGGGGAGTGAGACAAGGAAGGATGAGAAGCTGCCAATTCTGAGAATTCTCAAAAGTGACTTTACTATAGCTGAGACATGGAAGGGTGGAAGGGTGACAAAAAAGGGGAAGCGGAGAACAGAAGAGCTATGGCCCCACCACTCACAGACATTGAAATGAATGGGAACTCACCACTTATCCCCCACTTGTAGGCACCTAAAAAACCAAATATGATTATAGTAAAGGGAACTCACCACTTTTCCCCCGATGAAGAGCTTCTGAATGAGCGTTCAGGGGGGGACCACAGCAGCTGGGCCGCCCAGAAAGCTCGTTCCCTCAATGCCTCGTGGGGTGATGCTGGTTACCACCATGGACGGCATTGGCCTCGCCTTGTTACGATCGCCCTGCAAAAGATGGGAATGTGGGAAGGGAAAGGGAGGAGAGGGATAAGAGGGGTACAAGGCTTGTTCCCTCAATGCCCCGTGGGGTGATGCTGGTTACCACCATGGATGGCATTGGCCTCGCCTTGTTGCAATCACCCTGTGGGAGGTATCCCGGTGGGTGGTGAGGAGGATAAAAGGTTATGAGTGAAGGGCACGTGCGATGGGTCTTGACAGGTGCGACAAATTTCCTGAGCTAGGTTTCAAACTTCCACGTGGAATTGTGAACCCACCTGGTACTTGTGATGCGCGAAGGGCACATGCGCTGGGTCCAGCAGATTCTCCATCAGCATCTCGTAGCTGTAGGGGAGCGAAGGGGGAAGGGAGTGGAGACACGTAGGGACGTGGGGAAGGGAGGATATGGGGTGCTTGAGACAGAAATCGCGGAGGGTACAAGCGCTGGGTCCAGCAGATTCTCCATCAGCATCTCGTAGCTGTGGGGAGCGAAGGGGGAAGGGAGTGGGAAAGGGTAGGGAGAGATAAGGATAGGGAGAGATAAGGGTAGGGAGAGATAACGGTAGGGAGAGATAAGGGTAGGGAGAGATAAGGGTAGGGAGAGATAAGGGTAGGGAGGACTGGGAATGGGGAAAGGAATGGCTCGGAACGTTAAACTAAGGGAGGACTGGGGAGGTGGGGCATCCTTTACATCTCAAAAGCCATATGCAAAATCTGCAAGCTAAACTTGCAACCCAGCCTTGCAATGCAGCTCGGCCGTACTCAAGGTCTGCCATGCCAGTGTGGTGACGAAAGGTTAGGTTGTCAAACGCAGGGAGAGTTCCGAGGCGATATTACAGGTTGCCTCGCCAAAGAAGTCTCGGCATGCCTTCCTTTGAGACGTCCTAGAACTCAAACTCGAGACATCCAACAACCCAGGTGCAAAGCTCCTCACCTGCAAACGAACCTCACCTAGCAAAGAAACTCACCCGTATGTATTCTAGGTCCGCCATGCCCGGGTCGTATCGGAAGCTCGGATCATCAAACTCAGGAAGAGCTTCAAGACGTCTCAACACCCCAACCGCGCAAACCCTGCACCCCAACCTTGTGCATTGTAGCTCACCCGTCTTCAAGGTCTGCCATGCCCGTGTTGTATCGAAAGGTGGGACTTGAGGTGCCTCAAATGCCCCATAATACTTTCCAAGCAGCTCGCCCGTATTCTAGGTCCGCCATGCCCGTGTCGTATCGAAAGCTCGGATCGTCAAACTCAGGGAGGGACGGGGGAGGCGGGGCAGCAGCTGCTTCAGCAGCAGCGGAGGGGGAGCAGTCCGGTCAGAACCAGATGGTGCCTTCATGCACCCGACTGGGGTACACACACGCACATGCTCGAGGGGACGCGTTCACCTGGGAGAGGGGGAGGGGAGGAGGGAGGGCAGGAGCAGGAGCAGTTGCAAGGTCTAGGCGGGTGGTGGGGCGGCAGCAGCGGAGGGAAAGCAGTCCGGCCAGAACCAGATGATGCCTTCATGCACCCGACTGGGGTACACCTGCGCACATGCTCGAGGAGACGCGTTCACCTGGGAGGGGGAGGAAGGGCAAGGGGCAAGGGCAGGGGCAAGGGCAGGGACAACAGGGAAATAAAAAGGGTGGGGGAAGGCAAGGCTGGAGTAGGGTAGGGGATTAGGCAAGGTTAGGGTGTGGGGGGGAGGGGGGGAGGGGGGGGAAGGGGATTAGAGGTTAAGGGGGGAGGAGAATCTGTAATATTTGACGAGAGCACTGCGGGGAGGAGGGGAGGGGCAGCAACAAGAGCAGTGGAGGGGGGTACATTTGGCCAGAACCAAAGGACCACTCAGGCACATAATCGAGGAGAGGTGCTTATAGGGTAAGGGAGTGGTTCGGGGTGGAAAAGGCAGGGGGGGTGAGGGGGAGGGAGGAAGGTGGGGGAGAGGGGGGTTGGTGGGGTTTAGTGGGAAGAGTTGACTAGCAACCAATATCGCAGCAGCAAACCAAGAGACCGGGTGGGTCGTACGTGTATTTCAACCGAGATACTTCTGACTGGAATTCGCAAGTTGCCTTCTCCCCAAGTACTAAAGAATGACCTCAAATAAATCAAAACAAAAACATAAACATAAACAACAACAAACGAACAAACAGAAAAAACAAAGAATTACAAATCACTCACTGCTGGCCCGTCCGTGGGAGCCTGAGGAATGAGCCCACACGAGCCTTCTCCTGAGAATGTCCATCCGTGGTAGGAGCACTGCAGCTGCCCTGACTCGTGGATCCGCCCCTCTGACAGTGGGGCTAGCCTGGGAGGAGAGAGGTGATGGTAGGTTGAACGGAAGTTGCAAGGGAGGAGGGGAGGTGACGGAACATCCACATGTGATAGAAGCACTCCAACTTCCCCGATTCGTGGATCAACTTCTCTTATAGTGGGGGAAGGGGGCTAGGGAGGGTGGAGGGAGGCGAGGCTAAGGACTTGGCGAGAGAAGAAGAAAGGCGAGATAAGAAAATGGCGGAAAAGAGAAAGGATGGGGAGCAGGAAGAGAGGCTTAGAAAAAGGGAATTTAAAGTTCGTGAGGCGAGACGATAGAAAAATTGAGTGTGCAAGCAAGTGGGCATACGTTGTATCAGAAGAGGGAGAACAATAAGGGAAACAAATAGTCGCATGATATGAAACGAAATGAAGGATGGTTATTTCGAGTACCTGTGAGGGCAGAGGTCATGGAAGACCCGCCATTGGTCAGACACCCGATCGAACCAGATGACCAATGGGCGGCCGAGAATGGTCACAGGCTCGGGAACGCGCTTGTTCAGAGTCTTGGTGAGCGCTGGTGGGTGTGGTGGAGGGGGGAGGAAATGGGGTAAGGGGGGAAGGGGATGCGCGTTGAACGCGCTTGTTCAGGGTCTTGGTGAGCGCTGGCAGGTGTGGTGAAGGGGGTAGGAGGGGAAGGGGGGTGAGAGGAGGAAAATGTGCTGAACACATTGGAAGGGAATGAGATGATGTGCGGAGAGGTTAAATGGGGTATGGGGGGAAGAGGATGAGCGCTGAACGCGCTTGATCAGAGTCTTCGTGAGCGCTGGCAGGCAGCACGATGTGTTGTGTGGGGGGGGAGGGGGAGGGAGGGGGAAGGGGAGGGGTGAGGGTAGGAAAACGTGCTCAACGTGACATTGAGTGAGGGGAATGAGATGAGCTTCGCGCAAAGGAAGGATCCAGTATTTTGCACAGAGATTTTTCGAGGAATAAGGGTTAAGGGGAGGGGAGGGGGTCAACACTCTGAAAAAAGGGGGAAACTGTTGTGGGGAGTGGTGAGGTAAGGGGAGTAAGTAAGGGATAACGGAGGCTTGGAGGGGAGAGAAATAAGAGACAGTGGAAACAGGGGAGGGAGGAGACTCGTGGACTCATTCGGAATGAGGTGATGTTGGATAGTCATGTATTTCCTACGTAAATATCTCCACGAACTAGCATTTTGTTATAGGAATTCGACAAACTTGTACACAAAATGCTTTTGTTTCAAGCGAAATTTCACTTTCTTGGAGAGCCCATGTGTGACGAAAAAAGTCACGTCGCTGAAGCTCTCCCGTGCAGCAAAACTGTAAACTCAAAATATTGATGAAAGTGAAAACGTTCGAACATGTTCAACGTCACGCTGCAATCAAAGTTGTTGCAAAACACGTCCGAACATAGGTTTCTAGGCCCTCCACTTCTCAGAATGTCACTTTCAAGTTGATCTCAGGCGCTTTTCCTGCTAATAAAGGGTTCTTTTCGTGCGAGATCGCTTTTATAACCGTAAAAATCTAAGAAACATCTTGCAAGCGTTAGTACTGATACAAGAAAGGCTTCTGGAGGAGCTGGGGGTGTAGCTTTGGGCAAGGGAGGAATAAGTAAAGGTGGTGTTACAGTCGGTGGGAACGCTTTTCCTAATAGTGCGCTATCGGGTCAGAGCAGTAGCGGTGGTGGTGTTGGTGTTGCTGGGTGGGGAGCCAAATGGGAGGGAGACGGCATTGGGTTGAAAGAGCAGTAGTAGCAGGAAAGGGAGCAGGCTTTGAAGAAGGGCAAAGGGATGGGAAAGCAACAGCAAAAACCTGTGGGGAAGCAGGAGGCGGCAAGTAAAAAGACGATGAAAGAGCAGCAAGGAATCACATTGCAGACGAAAAAATCTGGAGGCAAACGCAAAAGAGCCTAGACTAAACCACGTTGTCTAACCATGTTGGTATTGGTGCTTGGTATTGGCTAGGTAGGCTGTCCATTAAATCTCTCAAATATTTGCTAGGTAGGCTAAGTTTTTTTAATCAACTGTTTCCTTTCTTTATCCCTATCTCACGTTGCGACGCGGCGTCTAGCGAACCTTCCAATTCCAAGGTTTGCTGCTAACTGGCGTGGTGGGGTTTATTTTTTTTGCCCCCTGCAGTTTGTCATGTTGTTGCTTCCGCTTTGTCGTTAGCGCGCCCGCTACGTCCCGTTGAGATATACTAGGCTAGCCCACGAATTGAAGTCCACAGACGTGGAATCGACGAACATACACGTCACCAGTTACCGACACGTGCACAAAACGAACCTGGCCTTGCACCTGCCTCAGGAATCTCCGTGCATCAGATCCCATCGGAGATCCCCCTAGTTACATGTCTCCACGTGGCTACGAATCATTCAGCCACTCTGCCTTCCATCTCAGTCGTCTTCGCATGCTGCAATGTTACCGTCGCCACGCACCCTGCGAGTATCGCCGCCGCGTTTCTTACAGTACCTACCTAGGAAATACCACATAAGGGCGCGTAACCATTTTGCACCCGACGGTTCGAACCGTGGACCGTCCGGGTGGCGTAGAGGTAACATAATTCGCGCTACCGCCTGAGCGATTTGATGGTAGTGAGACCATCGTTCCAAGCCTAGCTTACCATCATGACAAGGCCGCCATGGATTTCGCCGCGGATTAACGTGAACCTATTTCGTGAAGGTTACTTATCAGTTCGTAACTCTGAGACCATTTTCGAGTTCCTGAGTACATTACGAAGCGGAGGATATAAATTTTATGTCTACTACACGGACATTATAACCTCGGCTACTCAGAGGTATCTCAGTGTTCCAAACACATTTCAAGCTAACCAACCTCAATGGTTCCTTGATACTTCCGGCAGTTTCCAAGGCTCCTACAATGGACATCGCAACTGCAATGAAATTAAAAACAGAAACAACAACACTCCTGATCGCTATGCAAGACATGATCCCAAGGCTAAGACCTCGGGAGTTCATCATTTCCTTCAGGAGAGCAAGTCACGAGCTCCGAAAACCTTTTATAAGGAGGTGGTGCTCAGTCCTCAAGCAGCATCAGCTCTTTTTTGGTCTCAGCCTTTTCTCAAACGGCTGTTTTCTGAGACTCATCATCGCACCATGCCTCCTAAACGGTCGTCGAAGGTCACTGCTGAGGTCACGCTCCCGGACGACCTCCTAATGGATCCGTTCACCACGCCGGCTCCTGTTGTGGATGGGGCTGAGAAGCAAGGCTCAAACGATGCGGTTACTGTTAATGCAGTCACAGACAATGCTGCGAAGCCCGTCAAGGAATCGGCTAATACTACTGCTGCTGACGTCGCTGGTGGTTCTGGACTATCAGTGGAAGAGAAGTTTCAAGACAACCAGGCTCCTGTTGCTGTGCTTGACGAGTTCCTGGAGGATGATGAGGATGAAGAGCTGGAGATCGACATTGCCAAGGAAGATGCTTTTCGTCTTCGTTATACAACAATCTTACTCATTCCGATGGTGCTTTCTCAGGAGATTAAGGCCATTATTGCTGCAGTGCGTCTTCTGATGACCAAGGTCTGGAGCTCTTCTCTAACCGAGAACGCTGGGGTGACGGCTAACATACAGGAGATGATACCTGGCTTCGTCGCGAAGACACGATTCTGCCGGCTTCAAATCTCCTTCCTCGACGAACGGGATGCACATCACATCAAGTTTCATGTTTTTGAGTACCAGAAGGAGAATGCTCCGGCGATCAAGTGCATCTGGCAGCACACAGAGAACGCCTCGTACCTTAAGGAGAAAGCTACTCGTCCCCTTGCTATTGAAGTGGTGTTCCGGCGCGTGCCTGCTAACATTGTCCCGGATGTTTTGAAGGACCTGCTTGTCCGTTTCAAACTGAAGAAGCGTCAGCAGTCGGCTTTCAAGGAAGGGTTTGGTTTCCATCGGGTGGCTCACCCACTCACCGGAGCTGACACCGATGTTATCAAAGGCCTGGTCGTGCAGCATCCTGGGGATCGTTATCGCTGGCGCCACATGGTCGACAGCCCGATGGGGTCCGGAGAAAAGCTCATGGTCCACTACCCTGCACTGTCCTGTCAGCTCTGCAATGGACAGCATTATGACATTTATCATGATCTGTTCATCACAGAGCGGCAGAACAATATAGGGAAGTGGAACCTTACCTTGGGGAAAGCTCATAGTATCAATGGTAACTGCATCAGCTTTCTTCATTACATCGCAGACTTACCTTTCTCATCTCTCACTGACGATCTCTGTTGCGCTCGCAGCTGCTTCTCTGCGCACCTTCGCTCTCGTCACCCCCATACTGAAAGATCCATCCATCGCTCTTGTCTCGACCGGCAGCAACCGCGAAGAATGGATCTGCACGCAAGTGTGCTGCGGGAAGGCGAAAGGGAAAACTTTCCTGGCTGCGGCGGATCACATCATCTCTTCGACTCACCTGCTGAACCAGGAGAAGATGGGTACCGCCACAAAAGCCTCCATGGACAAGGCTGCTCTTGCCGGTTTGAAGAAGGATTACAGCTTCTGAGGCTGCGGAAGGAGAACAGTGTACTGTTGGCGATAGTAGGGTGGAGTGCAGTAGTCAGTGTTGTCACCATCTTCGGCCTGTGGATGAACAGGGGCCTCCAGGCAGTTATCAAATGAGTAACAAAAATTTCTTCTCCTTAGCAGGCCTTAACGTCAACGGCCTAGGTGACAAAACAAAGCAAGACAGAGTCTCGACCTGGATTAGAACAGCAGCTGACATCATCATTCTCACAGACACAAGACTTCCGGATAACCACACTTATTGGAAAACTCCATCCTTCACCACAGTCCTCACAACGCCACCCACTGATAAAGCCGGCGGCGTTGCCGTTCTTACCAGGGATCCCTCCGTCCTTCTCACGAACACCAGCACACACCCATCAGGGAGACTGATAGTAACTACCGCTAGCCGCTACGGTTTCACTCTTACCCTCATTGCTGTTTACTTTCCCGCAGATGCCACTGACAGATGCTCTTTTTTGAAGAACGTTGTCGGCCCGGCTTTCGACCAGATCCCCACCACTGACCACGTAGTTCTCCTGGGAGACCTGAACATTGTAGAAGATCCAGTTTTAGATCGGACGTCACAATCAGGCACCTCCTTAGAAAACGACAGGCTTATTTCACGATGCAACCGCTTTCAACTCTCAGACGCTTTCCGCACGCTTCACCCTAAGCTCAGAGAGTACACCTTTTACGCTGCATCCAAGCAATCCAGCTCTCGCATTGACCGCGCGCTAGTTTCTTGCTCGCTGCTCCCGCATCTTGATATAGCTGCACACATACGGACGGAGGAGTACATCTCAGATCATGGATTCGGGATAAAAATCGCCTTAAAAATAAAAGCATCTTCTCACCTGGGTCCTGGCATCTGGAGACTGCATGCAGCAGCCCTGGGCAGGCCTGGAATTCGGAAAGTGGTAGAGGCTGCCTTGGTGAAAGCGGCTGAGGATGGAGATGGTAATTTCGAGTTACTACTTGGGAGACTCAATGCTGGTTTGCGTGCGTACACGAAGGAGGAGAACAAAAGAGTAAAGAAAACAACGGCTCATCTGGCGGAGGTAGTGGCGGAGCTACATCAGGAGCAGATGCGCAACCCGAGCTGTCAAAAGACGAGTGATCTGTTTCACGTCAGGGACGCGCAGCTGAGAGAGTACCATGCATCAAAACGGGACAGACTTCACGTGATGACAGGGACGGATGCGGAGTTAGCTGGGGAGGTCCCTTCGCCTTTCCTATCGGCGAGAGTCAAGGTCAGAAAACAGAAGACACAGATTGCAGAGCTGAAGGTGGGAGACGTCAAGATTTCTGACTCACCCGGGATTCTGACAGCCGCGACGAAGTACTTCACGGACCTTTTCGGCACTGACGGTCGGACATCAACAGAGCGATGGAAACCGCTTGCTGGGAGAAAGTTGGATGCAGAGACGGCGGCTGGGCTCGCAGCAGATTGGACAGAAGAGGAGGTTAAACAGGCCTTCAAAGCGCTTGCAGACGGCAAATCACCCGGGAAGGATGGGCTCCCGAAAGAGCTGTTTGAAAGACACTGGGATGTCCTCGGCAAGGAGTTCCTCCGTATGGCGCAATCCTTCTCGGTTTCAGCAACCATTCCTGCAAGCATCAAAGAAGCGATTACTATTCTGCTCCATAAAAAGGGAGAGAAGGACAATCTGGACAACTACCGTCCGATCACACTTCTGAACTTCACGTACAAGGTGCTGGCGCGGGTGGTGGCGAACCGGATGAAGATGCACCTGCACAAGGTGATCTCGGCGGAGCAGTACGGCTTTATTCCCGGCAGGAGAATCTCGGAGGCCATCGGAGTGGTTGCTGATGTTATTGAGGCGGCGAAAAAGGGGAATGAAGACTGGTACATGCTGCTGGTAGACTTCCGCAAGGCCTTCGACTCGGTGTCTAGAAGTTTCCTTTTCACCATCCTCAAGGAAATGGGCTTCCCAGAGAGATTCGTCGGCTGGGTGGAAGGTCTGCACAAAGACACAAGAACAAGGTTATTAATCAACGGTTGGCTGGGGGAAGCAGTGGATGTTAAGTCGGGGGTGAGACAGGGCTGCCCACTCGCTCCGTACCTGTTTCTCTGTGCGGTGGAACCGCTGGCGCAAGAGGCAGAGCGTCGGAAGATTGGTCTCTGCAACAAGGCAAACCAACGGTTAGCGTATGTCGGATACGCGGACGACACGACACTCTTTTTGGATGGGAAAAGACAAATCGCCAGGGCTGAGAAGCTGTTAGCCTGGTTTGCTGGACTGTCAGGGCTGCAGACGAACAAGGGCAAATCGGTGATCCTCCCGATCGGCCACAACATTGGGAGGAGACCAGGGACGCTGGGCGGCTTTAAATGGGCCAAGGCGGACGAAGCGGAGAGAGTCATGGGAGTCTGGGTCACCCCCTCTGGAAGCAGTGAGCCGACCTGGAAGCGGGCTTTTGAAAAAATAATAGTGGAGTTGATTAAGTGGAAGGCGCTCTTCCTCACGATTGCGGCGAGGGTTGTGATTATCAACTGCTACATCACACCGAGAATAGCATACCAGGCGCAGGTCTATCCCCCGTCAGAAGAGATCTGGAAGAAGCTCGTTAAGCTGATTCACAACTTCTTAACGGGGAACAATGCATCGGCTGAGAAAGGGTTTGTGCTGTGGAACTGGGGGCTGCTTACCACGCCGAAAGCCGACGGAGGTCTCGGAGTTCTGGATCCAGGAGTGCTTCTCGCCTGCCTTGCCGCGAGAAGGATTGGCTGCTTGCTGCTGGAGAAGAACAAAAAAAAAAAGGAAATCACGCTCAAGGCGGCGGGATTACCGCTCGGAGAGGACACGTTCCTGGCTCATGAACGGTTGCTGAAGCACTGGCCGGGAGAAAACGAGCGCTGGCTACAGACATGCGAGACTTTCATGAAATCCCCGATGGCGGACACTGGGAAGTCGGATAGCAAAGAGGAGGTGGCGCAAGAAAGGGTGGTTTTCAACCGGAAGCTGCTTCTGAACTGCACGAACCCAGTGGGTGGACAAAAGGAGGCTAAGGGCCTCTGGGGGACGAGGCTGGGTGACCTGGTCACCACGCGTCAGGACGGTACGGTGGAGATTAAGGACATGGATACGCTTGAGCGGGAGTTGCGTAGCAGGGACTCAGCCCGGCTGGCTCTCAAAGCACTTGACGCAGCCCCGCAGGAATGGAAGGAAGTGCTCATCCCGGATGCCAGTGAAAAAGGGGCTGGATCTGGGGAAAAAAAATCGTCTGGGAACAGCGGCGGTGGCGAACATGCAGCGGCTACAATTTTTCGTTCGGGTATTTTCACGAATGGGCAGCTGTCATCCCTGAAGCAGCTGAGGGAATCGTGGGCTGTGCCAGACGCGGTCTCCACGAAGCAGGAGAAGTGGGTCGGCAAGTGGAGCGGCAAGATAGACTGGGACCGAATCATCCACACCAGAAACTCGCTTGCCATCCCGAACCGACCGCGTGATGTCCTTACGCGTATACACAACCACAACCTTCAGGTTGGGGAGAGGGTGGATTTTCTCAGCAATAAGCCGAAGTGCCCGTACTGTGGAGAGGTTGAGACACAGGACCACTGCCTTTTTAGCTGCCCGGTGATTCAGCCTGTGGTTTCTGGTCTCCGGCGCGCTCTGCGCATGCTCAACCCCGCAAGGACATCTGCCTCGCTCGGTGATCTACTGTTCCAGGAAACTGGTACCACGTCAGACTTCCCAGAGGCTACACTAACGGCCATCACCTTCCACCAGTTGTGGGTGGAACGCTGCGAGGCGAGCTTCCGTGGGCAAAAATTCAGAGCCCGGCGGGTGCTCAGGAGAATCGGGACGGCTTTCCGGCTGCACGTAAGGGTGTACACGAGAGTGACTGGAGCGAAAGTTGTGAGGCCGGGCAAGCTGGGGAAACTCAAAAAGGTTAGGGGGGTTTTTGAAGCAGAACAAAAGATGCTGATGAGGATCAGGAAAGTCGGAGACAGGAAGTGGAGCTGGTCGGACAGCTTTGCGGCCATCTGGAACAGACCCAAGAGGGCTCGCCAACCGCCCTAGTTGTCTCGCTGGGCAGCGCAAGGTGCCTGCCCTCACGCTCAGTTACGACTGCTATTGCTGTATGCATTGTCCTCTTTAATGTATACTTCAATTAAAAAAAAAAAAAAAAACATAATTCGCGCTATGTCGTAAGTGAGTTCGTCAAGGTGTTGGCGACATCGCCAACGAAACGGACTGTCGTGACACTTTTTCCTATTTTCAACGGCCCGAAATCTGATCCGTGGACAGTCCGAATCCCAAACGGACTGTCCGACACTTCTTGCACACGATTGGCGTGCGACAAAAATTGTCGAGTCACCTCTTCCACCAACAAAAACATGCGATGTTATTTCGCGAATGGTCAATGACCAACCAGACACCACCCATAAACAAAAATGATTCGATAACGACATCTGCGAAAAAAAAGCGAATTGCGTAACGCCTTTACAGTGATCGCGAAACTGTACAATAGGAGAAAAGTGTCACAATTGTCTTCGGACAGTCCGAAGTTACAAAAAAAATCAGTCGGACGGTCCCGTTCTCGATAAGTGGACCGTCTGGTTCGTTTCAAACGGACTGTCCGTCAAAATCGTAAAATGCAAAATGGTTACGCGCCCTAACGACCTACAGCACCTTGACACTTCATTACTCGCGATTTCCGATCAAGCAAGTAGTACTACCAGTTTTCTTTCTGTTCCTGCTTGTGTTTGGGCAAATAAGTGACCGCAGAGCCTTCATCGCGTCCTTGCGCTACTGCTCAACTCCACCATTCCACGTTATCTGCGTCAAATAGTATAGCAGAAGCTGTTAGGATGGCGTCGGCCGCTGCTCTGACCAGCCACGTGGCGGCGACTGCGTGCGTGGCTCCTACTGCCAGCCTGTCCTCGCGCTCATCCAACGCGGTCAGTCGCTTGAGAATGCTGATGAATGAGGAAATGAAGTTATTTGTTTGAACGACTGAGTGAACTTGTTTCACATTTTAATATCGCATTTGTAGAAATACCATTCTGCACACCCCATTGGCTGATAATATTTCCCTCCAGCTGCTCTTGACTTTCAGCAAGCCTGTTGCTTTCTTGCATGACTTCGACAGCTTACTTCTCTGTTGGGATATTTGACGGCATTAGTATACGCTGATAACCTAAAATCGAGGCCCCGCAACTTTAACTAATGCACCCTCTTTCACCCTTGCTATCTCCCAACGTATCCCTCAACCTCGCTGCGACAGGTGTCAGCGAAACCACTCGGGTTACCACTGCTTGTACGTTACAACACCCCGCACCTCCACCCTGGCCTATTTGTATCAAGTAGCCAAATCGGTTCTGCGTATCAAGCAGGCGAATCAGTTCTTACTCAGGATCACATCCCTGCTACTGGCTACCCTCACCAAGTCGTTCGTCGTTCCGTCTCCGTGCTGACATCTGTCACGTTTCAGACAGACTAATCAGTAATTTTCGTTTTCCATTGACCTCCTGAATGCCGATCTTCAACGCGTCGCATGTCAAGACCCCCTTTTCCCCCCTCATCTCCTCCCCACTCCCTCCTCCCTCCCTCCTCGTCCTGTCTACCCCCTGGTTTCGCTTCCTTACCATTTTCTGCATCTGATTATCTGTCAGGCATCCAGGCAGCAGCAGCAGCAGCAATGCAGGGCCAGTCACCGGCATGTGGTGGTGAGAGCAACAGCGGACGAGGAGGCCGCTACAGCCGCCGCTTCCGAAACCGCCCGCATTAAAAGAGAAGGTGAGCGTGGCGTGTCACGATGTGACAAGGTTGTTCTAAGGATGGTATGACTTATGAGGCGCCTCAAAAGCAGCCGCCGCTGCCGATTCCGCCACGCGCATTAAAAGAGAAGGCGAGCGTGGCGTGTCACGATGTGTCAAGGTTGTTCGTATGACTTATGAGGCGCCTCGAAAGCAGCCGCCGCTGCCGATTCCGCCACGCGCATTAAAAGAGAAGGTGAGCGTGGCGTGTCACGATGTGTCAAGGTTGTTTGTATGACTTATGAGGCGCCTCAAAAGCAGCCGCCGCTGCCGATTCCGCCACGCGCATTAAAAGAGAAGGTGAGCGTGGCGTGTCACGATGTGTCAAGGTTGTTCTAAGGATGGTATGAATTATGAGGCGCCTCAAAAGCAGCCGCCGCGGCTGAACCCGCCACGCGCATTAAACGAGAAGGTGAGCGGGGCACGATGAGCAAGGGGTGGCTCTAAGGCTGGTACGGGTAGAGCAGCAGCGGCGATATGCGTTTGTATGCGGATACGCCAGAGGTCGAAGGGTATCATCCGCCAGCTTCCATGGTGGATCATACTACGAGGTGAGGTGGAACAATTTGTGAGGCCGTTCAATAAGCAGCAGCGACGACATGCGTTTCTATGCTGAAACGCCAAAGGCAGAAGGATATCATCCGTCAACCTCCAGGGTCAAACATATTATGTGGTGGAACGCGTTTTTGGAAGTGTTCCCCCTGAAACTACACGAGAACGACTATGCAGGTGCGTCCGTGCTGACGCTGCCTGCAAACGCTGCCGCGGACGCTGCTGCGAACGCTGTCCTTACCGCCCCTTCCCTTCCGAAATGTCATTCATACTCTCTGTTCGGTGTCCTTTCCCCTCCACACTCACCACCCCATCCCTATTTGCGGTCATTTCATTGCGAGGGAGGGTTGCTTGCAACCTCTGCTGTCTCAAAATGAAGCGTGCAGTCGCAGGGGACAACAGCGGCAAGCGCGCATTGTGTATTCGACTCACCAATCAGACCTGCTTCTCACACTGCTTGCCCCTTCCCATCCTTCTTTTGAGACGTCTTGAAAGTCGCAGGGGCCAACAGCGGCAAGCGCGCATTGTGTAGTCAACTAACCAATCAGACCTGCTTCTCATACTGCTTGCCCCTTCCCGTCCTTCCTTTGAGACGTCTTGAATGTCGCAGGGGCCAACAGCGGCAAGCGCGCACATTGTATTCGACTAACCAATCAGAACTGCTTCTCACACTGCTTGCCCCTTCCGCTCTTCCTCCTGTCAGCTCAACATACGGTGGAGAAGGAAGTTTGCAAAGCTGAACAACAACAAGTGGGAGTGCAAGACATATGGGCGGCAGGTGCCTGACTCGTATCTTACTGCCCATTCCTGCCTCCCACCCACTTCCCTGATGCTTGTGTTGTGTTTTCCCCCCTGCCCCCCTGCAGAGGGGAAGTTTGCAGTGATCAATATGGGCAAGTAGGAGTGCAAGTTGTGTGGCCACTCATCCAGCCGCCAGGAACCTGCCTTATAGCTGCCTGTCCCCCTCTCCCCTCTCTTTTCTCCCTTGTCATGTAATGAACCCATGCAGAGGAGAAGTTTGCAGTGATCAACACGGGCAAGTGGGAGTGCAAGTCGTGTGGGTACATCTACGATCAATTCAAGGGCGACCCAGTTTATCCCATTGCTCCAGGTGAGTAGTGCTGCTGCACTTGAGTTTAGTTCTGAGGCGCCTCAAAAGCCAACACGGGCAAGTGGGAGTGCAAGTCGTGGGTAAATCTACGATCAATTCAAGGGCGAACTAGTTTATCCTGTCGCTCCGGGTGATTGCTGCTGCTGCACCTGATCTGACATCCCAATTGAGATAGTTGCAGATGTGAGACATCCCAAAACGCCACTGCTTTGGGCTAGTATTGCACCTCGGTCGCATGTCATCTAGCTGTGGTTGCCCTCGTTCCGTGAAATAAGGGCGTATCCCTGGGTGGTGGCAGGGCAACTGTAGCTGGCACTGTTGGTGGCATGCACATTTCCCGGGCCCCTGTGTTTTTGAGAAAGTTGCCACCAACCTTGCCAGCTACAGTGGCCCTGCCACCAGCCAGGGATACGCCCTAACTTGCTTGCAGTCCTGACTCAAGACCACTAGGCTGCAGAGATTTTTTCACTTGTGTGGCCCACGTGTGGGACGGCGCTCAGCTCATTTGGCAGGCTGAGCAAGGAGCTAGCCCGGTTAGCAATTGGGATGACTAGTATGCACCGTGTGTCTTCCTCCCCTCCCCTGTTTCTCCCGGACCCCCCCAAGTGTGGCTCTCACGGAGCTCCCTCCCTGACAACTGGGTGTGCCCAGCGTGTGGGTCGGCGCCCGGTTCATTTGGCAGCCTGAGCAAGGAGAGCTAGCTGGGGGAAATGATGTGCCACCAATGTCCGCTTCACTCCACTCCCCAATCCCTACCCCAGGTGTATCCCTTAAGGAGCGCTCTGAGGACTGGCTCTGCCCCTCGTGTGGGTCGTCACCTTCTTCATTCGGCAGCCTCAGCAAGGAGCTAGCCGGGTTCGCCCAGAACCAGGGCTATGGGTTGGGAGGCAACTCACTGACATCATCCAAGAAGTACGATAAGAAGCAAGACTGCAGCGCGTTTGGTGGGCTGGACTGGAGAGAAGTGGCCCGCCCTGCTCCTCCCATGCTGGATCTATCTAAACCACGGGTGAGTGGCAGGTGCTTTTCGTGCTCTATATTTCGTGCTCTATATTTGATGCTCTGGATTCCCTAATTTGAATCTAATCATAGGTGTATGGGTTTCCATGGGCTTCCCTGTGCTCCTCTTGGTTCCCCTGCACTTCCCTGCCCCGGTGTGTGTTGACTGCCAGATTCCATAATCCTTTTTCTTGTTCTATAATCGCTTCTCACTCGTCTTCAAATCTCGTGCATGGCTGGCTCGCAGGTGTACTATTTCGCCCTTGCCAATGCTTACAGCCTCATGTAATGCCTTCCCCTTTCCTCCGAACTATGACCATTTTCGCTCATTGATTGCTGTGGCTTGCTCTTATCACACTACCTGTCACCCTCAGTTATAGCCTCTGTGCTGCATGAACCCATTTTCATTCAGCACCTTTTTTCTCTCTCTCCAACTCCCTCTCTCCCTCACTCCATCCCTCCTCTCTCTCTCCGTCTCCCTTTCTCTCTTACTCCATCCCTCCTTCCCTCTCTCTTTCTTGCCCCACATGGCGCCAGGGACAAGGGTGCGTTGCTAGAGGAGGTGCTAGCAGACGGCATCAGGAGAAGTCAAAGGTACACCTCTCAGCCCTTCCCGTTCAACCTTCCTAGTGGTACCCGCACTGCGTTCAACCCTAGAAACGCCCTTTGGTAGCGCGAAAACAAATTCGTGTTGATGTTTGGGAGAAGTAGCGCTGTCAGCACATGTTCATGTTCGCTGCCCCCCCCCCCCCCCCCCCCCCCCCCGCTGAACACTCACACACACCATTCCGGTTTCCCACCTGCAACCCACTTTCTGCTCCCGCAGGGGTGGTCGCGCGCGTGATGTGTGGATGGTGATGGAGCCCGTGTTCCTGGACCATCCGTCCCTGGCATCACTCAAGGCAGCCATTCGCCCGCCCACTGCTGCAATCGTCTCCACCAATGGCGACTGGATGCTCACCATCGTGCACGAAATGCTGCCGCAGGTGCCTCTTTTTTCTCCTGTTCTTCTTTTTGCTTGGGTGTATTGGATGCTTGTCAGCTGGTAATTGTTTTGAAGAATTGTTTACAGAATGGTAGGCCTCAGGGGGTGTTCTCCGTGTAGCATATCCATTGCTTTCCCTTGTCAGGACAACACTGCCTTTTCTCTTCATGTTTAACCTTCGTCCCTCCTGTGCTATCTCTTCAGGCTACCATCGGCAAGTTCTACGCCCCAACACCACAACTGCCTGACCCGCTAAAGTCCAAGCTCACTCCAGGGGATGTTGCCTTGGGTGGTGGGGGTATCTGGCACTGAGCTTGGCAAGGAGTTTGATGTGTGATTGTGGTGAGGTGCGGACAAAAAGTTCCTGTGCAGTGCACTCACTTTTGGCGCTGTATGGAGGTTTGCAGTATATTTATGTGGAATTGTGTAAACATGGCTTAACATGTCAAACAACTTCCAATATAACTCCTGCAAACATTTACCTTGCCTTCTTCATGCATTTTCACCCATGAAAATCCTGGTTTTTGTTAAGTTTGTATGGCATGTCTGTTCAGTTTTAGTAACCTGATCACTATATAGCAAAATATCTTGTAGTGATACGGTTAAAGCCGGTGTAGCTTATAGAGGTCACACAAGTCGGTAATTTCAGAGCCACGCAACAGTTGTCAGGAATGTCGGCACGATTTGGCGGAGGCTTCCCCGGAACCCCCAAATATGCGCAGGCCCGAAGCCTACCACATGAGGTAACATCAGCCCAAATATCCGCTTCTCAAAGATTAAAGATTTTCGCAGTGTCACTAGCGAAACGCACTACCAGTTACAGCTCACCTTGTTGTCGGTGTGCGAATCGAGAGCCAATTAGCGGGACGAGGCTCTGGTAGCCGTTGCAGGTGTCAGAGGGTGCGAGAGGGAGACTCCAATTCCAATCTGCTCCCATCAGATCTTGCTCCCGCTTTTCCCCCCTAACCATGGCTGCCGCCGCCGCTGTTGCCTGAGACCCATTTCGTTGGCCATTAATCGCCCGCTTTTGCCCTGCTTCCCGCCGAGCCAACAACGCTACGTGTCCATGTTAGGAATTGTCAACCCGCCGACACGAATACCCACCAATCGTCAGACTTTTGACCTAAGATTTCACGGTTGAATTCGAGCAGGCCCTCAGATATCAGCGTAAAACACGCTGATTACGCTGATTTTGTAGCTCTGATTTCCGTTTTCCTTGGAAAATCAGTATAGTCCTCAACTTTGCACTGTTTTTTTCAGTATTTGTAATTTTGCCACACTGACTCTTTTGCGTGTTTCAGAACAATTAACACTGATGAATCAGTATACTTCAGCGAGTCACACTGAAACGTACTTGACCGTGTGGGGGGGAGGGGGGGGGGGGAGTTCGCGACGCGGATACAGACTGTACCTTAATACACCCCACCCCACCCATACACTTGGAATATTTTCACATGCCTTGTACTTACAGCTGTGCGCGCCGAACCATTTTGCCTCGGTGGAAGCCATCACACCAGAGTACGATGAACCTAGTTCACAACTGCCCAATGAGAACACAGACAACACACCACTTGTGGCAGGGTCCACGCCAACACGCCATAAAAATATGGCAGTGGGGTGGGGGTGTTGTCATCTTGCCTGGAAGGACGGAAACCCAGGACCACGATCCCTCGCCATGGCGGCTCGGGAGAGGGGGTACCCCCATCTGCTCCCTCATTCTGTTCCTGCACATCGTCCTGCAGGAAGTGACGATCGAGCCCAAGCAGCAGTAGCTTCCCTCTCAAGCTCAGCACGCTCAGCACAGCTGAGCAGCCATGGCGGATCCAATGCCCGCAGGTGACAACCCCGAATCCGTCCCAGCCACGAAGCCAGCCGCCCTTACTGGCCTAGACTTCCTACGACGCGCTTCAGCGGCTCCCGCGTTAGTCTCGCCATCAGCTCCTACAGTTGTTTTCCCTTCCTCGGGCCCCGAGGCACCTACCATCTGGACGCAGGGAGAGTGTTCCACGCAAGCCGGCGCTGCCGCATCACCTCCTGTCGCTGCCGCATCACCTCCTGTCGCTGCCACATCACCTCAAGTAGCTGCCGCATCAACTCCTGACGCTGCCGCATCAATTCCTGACGCTGCCGCATCAACTCCTGGCGCTCCCGAACCTACACGGAAGCGTCGTCCTGTCGCTACCGGAACTACTCGCGTCGGCCCCCGTCTCAAAAGGGGAATCAAAGTGATGTGCCGCCAAACAAAGATCCAGTGGGGTGTGAGTCAATCTACGCCAACGTCTGGTGCGGGGAACTCCTCCCCGAAGGCCCGACAGCGTAAACAGAAGGCGCCCGCGGTTGAGGTTACCTCCGAAACAGAACTGCCCGACATAGCCGAGGAGAAATACCAGGATGCCTTATTAATGTTCAACAAACAGTGGTCTGACGATTTTCCATGGCTTGTTCTGTGTCAGACGAGTGCAGGGTTTCCGTCAATGAAGTGCTCGGTCTGCATTACGAACTTCGGCGCCAAAGGAGAAGGGGCGACCGATGTGCAGACCCAGGCAATGCGGAAGCATCAGCGCACAAGGAAGCACCGCCGCGCACTGCGCAGACAGAGGACAGCCGAGGCGGCGCTCAAAGCTAACCGCCGGATTAACGACAATGCGAAGGTGAAAGATGTCGAGAAGGAGCGCCTGCTCTCGCTATTTGAGACGGCACTCTTCATCGCAAAGTCAGACGCCCCGATCGAGATGTACGTGGACCTCGTCCAACATCTATCGCAGCGTGGCACACCGGGCTTCCCAAAGAGCAGTTATGGTGCCTACTACACAACGTAAGTGACACTGCTCTAGTACATATCGGTGGCGGGTTGTGATATACATGAAGCTTTCACTAACCACACGCGTTGAAATCCGTGAAGGTACGGATTTGAAGAGATCACCGCCGCAATAGCGACATACCTTCGCGCGCGCCAGAGGGACTTCATTGATTCGAGTCCATTCATTGGTCTGACGTGCGACGAGAGTACGGACCGCGTCAAAGGCAAGCACATGATTGTGCTTGTAACCTTTTTGCGTGATCATGCCGTCACCACAGAGTTTCTGACTAACCTCTCCATCGAGAAGTGTGATGCATCATCTCTTTATGCTAAGCTCAAGGGATTCCTTGACAGTATCAGCCTGCCGCTGGAGAAGGTGGCGGGTATCAGCACCGATGGGGCACCTGTGATGATAGGCAACGACACGGGCCTCGTTGGGCGTCTTCGACTGGAGATACCACACGTGGTGGCTTCTCACTGCATCGCACACAGGTAAACTGTTGCTGTGGTGGTGTTGTTGCGGTGTGAGATGTGCAACGTGGTATGTCGCAGTGCGAATTCTAACACCCCCACTTGTGCTGTTCTACCCATGGCAGGGAAGCGCTTGCTGCAAAGTAGGCGGCTAAGGCACTACCGGAGCTTGGCATAATCGACGCGGTTATCCGTGCATTGGCGGAAGATCTCGGCAGATCCAGCAACTACAACCGCAAGTTCAAGGAGCTGCAGGAAGTGTTCACGCATACCAACCCCGAGGTCCAGGGGATCCATTCCGTCTGCTGGTTGAGTCGCGGCGATGCAATCGCACGCTTCGTTCGCGTTCTGCCTGGTAGATGTGCACACGGCACTCAACGCGCTCAACCTGCTATTCTAGAAGCGTCAGGTGAGTTGTTGAGTTACGTTGTTCAGTTCTCTTCTTCTCCCAGGTTCTTATCTTTTGTTTCGGTGTACCAATTCTCCCCCTACCAACAGGTTGACCTCACTGCAGTGCACTCCCAGGTGAGGCGGACCATCATCTACATGGAGCCGAGGTACCTGAACTGTGGCCAGCAGTTTGGCGGTGGGACCAGCGAGCTGCTGTCTGCATTCCTCGCGCGGCACACCTCTCCTGACTGCCGTGAAGTGACTGTGGAGGGTGTGGAAAAGGAGGCCCCGGGTACACAAGTTCCAGCTGCACGAGGAGGCAGTGAAGGGATGCACCACCAGCAGCGGGGACATGCAAGGCTGCTACACCTGCTGCCGCTCATTCGCCCGCGAGCTGGTGTACAACCTCGAGCTGCGCTTAGGAGACCTGACGCGCTTGAATGGGGCGAAGCTCTTCATGCCCCGCTCGTGGCCGAGGGGCATCGAGGCAAGAGACGCAGAGTGCAAGGAGCACCTGCACGGCCTTGTCCATCTGTTTCAAGCCAAGAACTGGGACACGATCTTGCCTGGTGAGTTAGAAACAGAACCGCACTGACCTGCGTGTATGCATTGCTGTTTCTGTGGTTGCGTTATTCCCATCCTGAGAGCTTGACGTTCTAACCCGGTTGTGCTCTCCCGTTTGGCAGGTGTCCTGAAGCGTGCAGCACGAGGGGAGCTGCGCACGTTCCTGCCGGTGCTCTCCACTGCCCCCAAGGAAGAGCAGCCCTTTCATGCAGGTTGAAGGCCATCTTGCAGACCAGCGACTGGCAGACGAGCTACCCCAACTTAGTCCGTCTGTGGGCTGCGGTCGCTGTTCTGCCGCTCAGCACAGTCGAGTGCGAGCGCGGGTTTTCCCGCCAGAATGTGATCAAGTCGTGGCGCCGGACGAGTCTCTGCAACGCCAAGCTGGGAGATTTGTTGGCGATGAGTCTGCTCGACTACGACATGGAGTGGGATAAGGTGGTGGACATCTGGCGGAGCACCATGAAAAGGCGCCCCAGCAAGCGCAAGGAGCAAGCTGCCCCCACAGATGGAGCGGGCCACGGCCAAGTTTGTTAAGCGGAGTGGCCGCCGGGTGGTGCAGGTGGAGGAGGAGGAGCTAGACGAGGGCATGTATGGTTCTGCAGGCGATGGCAGTGAGAGTGATGATGATGATGCCAGTAACAACAGTGGTGATGATGCGAGCGTTTCTTCTTCTGATGATGACATGACATGAGCTAGTTGTTAGTTAGTTAGTGGTAGATTCAGCCAGATCATGCCATTGGTGCTGTCTGTCACAATGGTGGTAACTTTGGTTGCATTGCATTGCATCCATCCATCCATCCATGCACTGTTGCATCTGCACTGCTTTTTTGGTTTTTTTTACACTGCAGGTTCAGTTTACTAAGAATTTTTACACTGACAGTATCAGTATAAAGAAAACCACCAACGCTGATTTGGACACCTGGTTGGCAGGGGCACGCTGATCCATCAGCATACCCTCAAACCAATCTGAGGGCCTGAATTTGAGTATTCCTGACATGACTAACGTCAACCAATTCATAGAATTTCCGCTTAGAGCCGTTTGCGTTTTTTCGCGGTTCAAGTACGTTTTGATGAACGGCTGCGATTTCTTGTAGACTTTCGACTGGACGCAAATGTCGGTAGCCTTGGGGTTGGTTTGGTTTCATCGCTAATTTGGGGGGTGTGGGAAACTTGTTGGGAACGAGTTGTTGCCGAGTAGTTTTCGACTCCTGGCGGTTTCCCGCGAATTGCAATTGGTTTCCAATACATCTGACAAGTAGAGATCGACTGGTGCAGAGAATTTCTCCCAAGCCCTCCGAGTTGGTTCGGGAAATTTGAGCGAACACGCACAGGACACCTGGCGCGTGACGATTTGTTGCAACTTTGTTTCTATTGGCTGCCGGGCCGTCCAAATACATTCCGACGCGCACTTCGTTTAGAAGAGGAAACTCGTTATCATTCTTTCGGACTCGTTCATTTAATCCTAAATTTTTTTCTGCCCATTATTCAAAACGTGATAATAAGGAGGGATGAACACAACGAGTTTCGAAATCATTAATGTCGATAGATACAATACACTAGCAAAAAAGAAGAGGTAATGATTCAACATTTACCGATTTTTTTTAGAAATTTCGTACAGCCTATAATGCTTTATTATAACAAATAGAGAAGACAATACACTAAAAAGGTCAAAAGCTTACACAGATATATCCAAGATCTACCATTGGTTACAAACTCATCTACACCTACAAAAGCAGCCCTAAGCTACCACAGGTACTACAGGTCACCCGTTAAGCTCCTCCTGCTCTTCATTCTCATCATAAACCCGCTCCTGAGAGCCTGGCTCGCTCACTAGCTCATCTAGTCCAAGGTCACCATGCTCGTCTGCAGCCAGCTCCTCCTCTGGAATCTCCTTCCAACCAACGATGCAGACCTTGCCGATCCCAAGGCAGTCGTCCGTGCAAGTGACGTCACTGCTGTTGATCCAGCGCTGTACCACCCGCGCCTGCCTGGCAAGAGCACCAGGATCCCCCGACCGATCCAACTGAGCCTTCGTGGCGTCGGGATGGCGGAACTTGAACCTCACCTGCACGAAGAAGAAAAGCAAGCAACACTTGTTAAATTGCACAATGTGAAAGGCAAATTATGTGTTCATGTTAAACTTACCGCTGCAAGGATGACAAGCAGCTGAACAGAAAATAAACCAGTTGGCAAGGCGCCACTCGAATTCCACAGGGAAGCGCACTTAACGAAGGCAAGGCTGGAAAATGGATTGCCTCTTCTGTTGACGTGCCAGGGAATCCCCAAGAACTCTGCAACAGACCAAAACATACGTTAGAACATGCCACGTTAATCCCGAAACCCAATTAATGCAAACGGTAAAAAAAATTGCAAACTCAATGACTTACTGTCGGCAAAAACGCTCAACGTAGTCAGCACATTTCGTGAGTAGGTCCTCAGGCACCTGCACGGTTAGCTCTCCCTTGAAGTTCCGCTTCCTCTCCAAAAAAGCGCATGGTTCTAGGCTCATAGCATAAAGGCGACAGAATTGGTAGATTTTACCGATCCGGTCGTTGAAGCGCACACACGCGTGCTTCAAAAATGCCATTGACCTTCAGCAAGGCAGCGAGCTTCAAGCCCTGAGGGGAGTCAGCGATGTAACCAGCTTTCTCTGCACAAAACAACGAATGACGACGAGTAAGTAAAAAACAATGACAAACGAACGCGTCAGTTTCTGACCGTCACTTATTGATTAAAGCTGCGAGCATCGCATCAGGATCGGGTGACAGGTTGAGCGTACCCGGCTTGAAAAAGGAAGTCGTCGCACGATTCCTTGATGTGGACCTGAAATAAAAAGATCACATCGCATTAGTGACTGTTCGTAAACAACGTAGACGGCAAAATAGAGGGCAATACTCACCCGCCAATTCACTTTGGCGAGCTGATCATCGGCAATTTTCTCCGACAGATGCTTCAACAGCGCCAATTCATCCTTCAGATCCGCGTCCCTCTTCTCAAGCTGCTGACGAAGCTCCACGTTCTGCTTTTCCTAGTCGTCAGCCTTTAGTTGAAGCTCGTCATTCACCTCCAGATGCTGCCGTCCCCTCCTCGCAAAAACGCGTAGCCTTGGTGGTATAAGCCGCCCCTATCGCCCGGGACATCGCCAACTCCATCGGGTGATCTCCCAGTTTTGCCTGTTTGGGTCGAAAACAGACGCAACAGAACAGCAAAATTAGCGAGTGTAAGCACGGATGAAGCGTGTCACATAGACATTCACTCAACCGCAGAAGCAGCATCTTGTTTGTTAGCGACGGCTGCATCGACGTTTTGCAACCACTATCACTACAGCAGGGAACGACGCTCACCAGTGCGTTCAGGTGAACCGGCAGGAGAAGCCTCGACGGGCGAAGCAGAGGTGACGACAGGCTGTTGGTGAAGGGCGGGATTTGTCACCGTTGGGAGCGCCGTGTCCTTCGCCTGCGTACCCGTGACTGTTGGGGGGATTTGTCAATCTGGCTCCGTCGAGTTTGCTGACTCCGTGCCCCGGTGGGCCTGCGATTGGGTTGAGCTTCGTCGGCTGCATCGTTAGCTTCATCAGCAACACCTGCAACAAAATAACAAAAAAACAATCACTAAAAAACATCACATACAAAAGGACGATGTCAGAATGTAGTTTGTCTAGCCTGCAGTGGGGTACTCTGTAGTGAGTATGAACCCCTTAGGGTTTCCTATATGTATCCCCTTGCTTGCTAGTGAACCCCCTCCTTTGCTTATTTTCTGCTTGCCTAGCTAGCTAAACCCTAGCTATGGCTTCCTCGTTATGCTCACTATTCTGACATGGACTCAGAGCTGTTACGCTCTTGGCCTGTGGTGGTTTTCTGCCCGCCGTGCGCACCCGAGGCGCGTGGCGGCTTCCTTTCTTCGCGCGTCACCCCGGGACCCGCGCCGTCCCCCCCCCGTCGACGGTCGCGTTGCCCCGCAAACCCCGTCGCGCTGCCCTGAGGAGCCGCGCGCGACCCCCCGCTGCCCCGTCGACGGTCGCGTCGCCCCGCAACCCCGTCGCGCTGCCCTGAGGAGCCGCGCGCGCCCCCCGCTGCCCCGTCGACGGTTGCGTCGCCCCGCAACCCCGTCGCGCTGCCCTGGGGAGCTGCGCGCAGACCCCCCGCTGCCCCGTCGACGGTCGCGTCGCCCCGCAACCCCGTCGCGCCGCCCTGGGTTGCCGCGCGCGACCCCGCCGCTGCCCCCGTCGCGGCGCCTTGGGGAGCCGCGCGCGGCCCCCAGTTGCCCTGTCATGGCACCCTGGGGGCCGCGCGCCGTCCTCCGCACTCCTGCCCCGTGCCCACCCGTTTAGGGTTTGGGGGTGGCGAGAGTTGGGGTGGCGGTTATGGGGGTGCCGGGTGTGTGCGCCGTCCCCTACTCCTCCTCCTCCTCCGTCTCCCACTGCTGCAGCTGTCGCTGAGGGGGGTGGGTGTGTGGGAGCCGAAGGAGTGGTTGCTAGGGGGGTGACATGGGAGTGGAGCTAGGGGTGCAGCAAGGGGTGTGTGAAAGGGGGTGAGACAGTTGGGGGAGGTTGAGCAGAGGCTGCCGTCTTGTCGTCCGCAGCACCTGTAGTCCGAGGCGCTGTCCTGGTAGCCCAGAGAGCCTGCTGCGCTTATCGCCCGTGGGGTTTCGTTGCTCCTGCCGCTCAGAGTTAGCTGGCAGAGCCAGTTACTCCAGTAGTCGCGGGCGCTGTCCCGGTAGCCACTGTGCCAGCCGCTCCTGTTGCCCGTGTCTCTGCAGCTTCAGCTGTCGCCTCCTTATCTCCTCTCCTCTCACAGTCCAGCCCCCTCCTCCTCACGTGCCCGTTGTGAATGCCTCTAGCTTTGCTTGCACTTGTGAACCTGCTCTATAACTGCTTGCTCTGATGATTATACCCCACTTTGACTATGGGGGTGTGTCAGAATGTAGTTTGTCTAGCCTGCAGTGGGGTACTCTGTAGTGAGTATGACCCCTTACGGTTTCCTATATGTATCCCCCTACTTGCTAGTGAACCCCCTCTTTTGCTTATTTTCTGCTTGCCTAGCTAGCTAAACCCTAGCTATGGCTCCTCGTTATGCTCACTATTCTGACAGACGATTCAATATAGCTACTTTTACTAACACTAAGTACCTGAGACAGCGTTGGTCGAAAGGTACTTGTGGTTCTCCTTGCTTAGACGAGGCAAGGAGGGCCGAGACTGCAAATGCATCATAGCGGGAGGGACTAAGTTTTTTCGGATTGCCGCGGGCCATCGTTACAGACTTGAGACTAATAGCCTACAGAAGCGTGTAGCCAGCAGCACGCTTCTGTAGGTATTTATAATATGCGGGAGCGTGATAATAAATAGCGCAAGCAGAAGCGGCTCGACGACATACAAAAGAAAGGCTATAACGGGATAGAAACCGCACCGTCATGTCATTGGGTCACCAAACGAGTGACAGCGGGGCGTAAATGATAAGGCTCGGGTCGGGGCCGCGACCGGATAAGCTCGGCCAAGGGCAGAGGAAAGTTGAGTTTGAAACTCGAAATTTGAATTTCCAAAATGAGGACACAAAGGCAGAGCAGGAACGAGGTCGTTGAGAGGAGAAGGAAAGGGAGAGGGGGGAAGAGGGGTGGTGTGAGGGTACTAAAGATGCAGAGAGTCATAAGGGGTAGCAGAGGGGAGGTGGGGTTCATGTCTGCCTCGAATCACGTGACAACGCGGCGGATTTTGCCGACCTTGCACAGCTAGAAATCACTTCTTCTTGCCACCGCTGGAGGACTCAAACTGTGTATGGGTAGTGTAGCTTAGAATTTCGTATTGCCACGTTTGTCGCTTTTGAAACAGTGAAGCAAGCAAAGTGTTGACGCGGTGAATTTTTCTGCTGACAGCAACTTTACATCATCCACGCAGACAGGTTTAGTCATGTCACGGGCAGTTGCACGAAGCAAAGGGTAATGTGTAGCAGTGACGTGGAGCAGGTGTTGGACTGGGAAATCAGCTCTTCTGCCCGCCGATGGAATAATTTAATCCACCGCGGTAGTACACTCGCAAGGCCAATGAAGACAGCTCCAGCAATACTTGTACTGTTATGGCTGCTAGAACAGTAATGCTAGAGGGCAAAAGGAAAAAAACACAAGACAGCCGAGCTGTCTGGCCAGTCGTTCAAGCTGGCTTACCCGCTGAGCTGTCGCCGTGCAAAATAAATGGCCAAAGAAAAAACAATCACAGATGTTTGGCCAGTTGTTCAAGCTGGCTTACTCGCTGAGCTGTCGCCAGTGCCTCTGGCAGTCGAATCAGCAGCCGAATACTGCACAGCTGCCCGAGGCACAAAGTCTACTAACATCGCTATACTACTAACCGCTAACATCGCGTTTAGAAACACAGACGCATCTAACTTTACCAAAATTTGATAGGGTGTAATATGGCTATACCTAAAGGTTATATAATCTTTCTAATTCAAGCAAAGCCAGGTAACAGTTATTTTGTGTCCAAGAAATAGTTAGAACATTTACAGAATATACAACCTACCATCTAAAATGGTTCAGGATAGATTTTGCGTTGGGGTGAGCCGGATCTACTGTGTTGGGTACGACATGAATCACACGCAATATACTCTCAACCGGCAGCATCCCGTAACCGCGGCCTGATGGCCACCACTTTAGTGACTTCACACGTCAGTCGTCGGGGACTGTGCGGTCTCACTGTAATAGCGACAGGATGCGAGTTGCTCCGTGATCTGCTCTTCCGTTGTGTCGCTGGAAACATCAACCGTCTCCACTGTCCGTCGCAACGCAAACACACAAAGGAGTTTTGCTCGCCAAATCTGCTTGACTTTGTTGTCGTCCTCACCCTCGATTGTGACATCGGAAAACCAGGGCTTCCCGTAGAACATCGGTGTAGCGCGGGCATACTGCGGGTATCTACTATACCTCGTGAAATCATCATCAGGCGGCACAGCGCGACACCAGAGTGCACCTCGATCACGCGATGGTAGTGCACCCTAGTACGCTCGCCAGGATGCTCTCCATTAAGGTACGCTTTAATGGTTCCCTCCATAAGTCTAAAGTCGGCCGGAACGCTCGCCTGGTACGCTTTGAAGTTTTTGTCGTTTGAATCCCCGAGCACTAGTCGTGATGACGACGCTGACACTGTTGGATATCTGCCCTCGATTGCCTGCTCACACAAATAAAGCCAATAACCAGAGTTAGGT